GCAGCATCAACAACTGGCACAATTGTATGGAAGGTTGAGCATGTCGGATAAGAGTGGCATGGAGTTGGTAGCGGACTGTCATGGGGTGACGGAGGTAAACTTGACCACAGCCCTGGGATTTTGTAGCATGACGAGCTCGATAGAGTCACTTGAGCGCCTGGAGCGTGCCCATGAGCTAGTGACGTCCCTCAGCCTGGAAGTATTCCCTGGAGCATTGCAGACAGAGCAGAAGATTGGAGGCTGGCGAGAAGCTCTAGAAAACGAAATGAATCTGAAGGATAGTGAGGCCTATCATAGACCTACTGGTTCAAAATATCTGGTGGGTTCAAGTTCAGCCCCTTATTGCAACAGCAGGTATCCTACGCACATGGTGGTGATGGATGCGAGGACGCAGCAGGTGTTGGTTGATCCACTTTTCTCTGTGCCAAAGTGTGTGAGGTTGGCCAGAATGTCAGAAAGGTCATACGATCTGTTGGCGAAGATCTTTCGGGCAGTCACGAAGAGATCTGAAGGCGAGTTGCAAGACGTAGTGGGTGAAGAGTTCATGAGGTTAAACGAAGGTAATGTGAGCGAGTTCCAGAACCAGAAACCGAGTGGAGCGTTACCCACTGATTTCCCCATTGTAGAAGAGAAAGACGATTTGCACAGAATCATGATGGAAGTGGAACCGTTGCTGGGAGCCTCAGGGTATCGAACCCGAAGGAACATACTGAGGACCCATGGGGAGTACCCTTGTCACTGTTTGGCGCAGACGTTATGGTACCCCAAACACGGGAATCTGATGCTAGTATGGGACGTGGAGGGGTTGTACTCTACGGGGTTGCCTGATCAGAATCAACAAGTGTCAATCGTGGTGGTTAGTGCCATGCTGGTAGTTAGATGGCTGGAGGCTAACGCGGACACGAGTGAACAGGAGACGGCCGTGCCGACTCCTGAGCAGCTGAGTAACGTAAAGATGAGCCGCAAACTGGATCTTTTCAGAACCACCTGCAAGAAAGAATACGTTCAAGGCAGAGATTGATGCCTTGGTTCCGTGCAGTGATGACGTCATGGATGTATGAACGCGCGAAGCGTCACATGTCGAGAAACACGGAAGCTTATCAATCTTTCCAGTTAGTTATAGGACCGGGAGCCTATATGAGAGTATTCCTGACGCACAGGAACGCGGTCACCACGGCGTTGAAGCGAGTAGCTGGAGCGCCTTGTGTAACTGAAGATGAAATGAAGGAGGTCTTAAGAGCTGACCTAGAACGGAATGTGAGCCTGTGTCTCCACAACAGCTTTTGCAGGAACCGGGAGCAAAAGGTGAATGTAGACTTACTACCTTGATGCAAACCGAGGCTGTTGGGACAGGAGAGTTGGGGCACGGCCCGCAACTCTATGGACATGTTAGAAAAAGTTCTGGAAGACAGTGACGCTGGAGATTAGGATGAAGAAGCGATGGAATGAAAATGATGGAACGAAAATGATAAGTGAAGACGTGAACGAGAAAGGAAGAAAAGGAGAAAAAACTTGATTGTTTTTGTGTGTTAAAACTTGAACCAATCAACCAAGTTTGATTATTAAACTTGTTAAATTTTTTGTTTTGATATAGTTTGATCAGACCAAACTATAATGTTGCAATTGTTGAAATTGTTGATTTTAGTTATGACTATTTATATATATGAAGGATATAGGTGAAAATATTTACCTATTTAGTCACAACTGAAGTTATTAACATGTGTAAGACACAAATTCACTGTGTGGCGACATGGTAAGTTGGGGTAAATTCACTCGGAAAGGGTGAGTAACTCAATAACTTTCCTAGCCACAGAGTTTCTTAGTTTTAATATTGAAAGGACCGCATCAATAACTGATTACACTTGGTGAGTGACGTTAGGTTATTTTTAACGGGTGCGTGGCCGTGCCACGTCCCAACTTTTTAATCACAGAGAGCAAAAAAAAATTTATGGCAAGATGACGTAAGTAGTCAAAAAAGAAATTTTATCTAGGACACTCCTCATGGTGCAAATTTTGTGAAAATGTTGAAAGGCAGTGAGATGTAGTACGATGCCATTTGTGACACGTAGTGAGTTGAGGTGGAGTAGTTAAATTTCATTTTCTAATGCGATTTGTAAGATCAATTATAGAGACTGGAATAGCTCTTGACGATAACCCGGTGTTATGCGATCAATGGGGACATTGATGGGAGCTGTCCGGGGAGTATGTGCCTTTCCGCCAGATTGGCACAGAGCAACCTTCTGGCGACACTGAAAATGGTGACTAAAGGCCTTAGAAACGAAATAATGCTGCGAAGGATGGATGGAATATTCTAGAATTTTTGTTTTTAAAATTTCGATCGGAAGGGGAATATTTCTCAGAAATACGAAAAACGGCCATTTTGACTGAAAAGGACGGAAAAACAGAAAAACGACAGATATTGGGGAAAACGGTCGCACAAGAGACGAGAAACACGAAGCCTCTTATCGTGGCAACAACACACGATAAGACTCTTAGCAGTGGAAATTGGTGGGGAAGGAAGCTTCAGTGGGGAAGGAATATTCCACGGAACCCTCCCGTGCCACAAATTGGGAGTGATAACGACGATATCACGAGAAGAACACGGGAGCGGAGGCTTGGTCCCCCAGAGACTGTCGTATGTGAAAGGACTATATTAAACTGACTTTGTAGCTGCTTGAATGTCATAGAACTCTGAATTAACACCGGTATATTTTGATATTTTAGAATATGAATAGCTAGAAAGAGGAAAGGGTCAATCCATCTCCAATGGATTTAATATAGAACTGTCACACAACAACATATTAAAATAAGGTGTTCGAGCCGTGTTTTCAATAGCAATCACGTAGTCTGAGGATCCGAGACTCAGCTATGTGGTTGTGTTCGCATGTAAACGAAAGCTGATCAAAAGTCGTTTGACTGATGGCCTAAAAATAGTAACTTTTTTCTTAGCCCTAGACAGACCAGAAAATCAACTGACAAGGTCGAGACGGTGAGAAACGAGTAGGATTAAGGTAACTGACGCCTGCAAGTCGTTGATAGGTACTTTTTCTACGCTCCGTCGCTGTGTAGTATTTGGGCGAATGTTACACTGAACCGTACCACCGGTACTCTAGAATGGACATGCAGCCCGGAGCTGTGTCAAGTGGGTTCGCCTCCGTAGTCATGATGTCGTAAAAACACCCAGGGGCGCCATAAAAACACTATGAAACAGTCGCCACTTCGGTCACACATGAGGCTTAAGAAAAATAGGCCCTATAACCATTGGCTCAAGAGTCAGGGACACTATCTCTTGTGTTTTTCTACCTCAAAACGGTCGGAGCCGATTCAGTTCACTTGCGACATGAGACTAGAACCCGTTACAGCTTAAAGGCAGCTACCAAAATATCCCCCCACTCTAGTAAATAAGAACGTCCTCATCAGGGATTTCAATACAATATCAATATATTGAGGTCAATATCAATATCTTCCATTCAATATCAATATCAATATCAAATAGGATGAAATTTCAATATCAATATCAATATCAATATATAAAAGCTCAATATCTCAATATTATCACGATTTTAAGATACCAGAGACCACATTCAATATTGAATTTCGAAATATATAATTAAATTTGTTTAGTTTTTTTTTGCAATGTAATTGTTTTTTGTTTAATTTGTTTAATTTTAATGCTTGAGTGAGTGTCCATGTAATTTGTTTTATGTGTATGTGTTAAAACGTCACGTTTCAAGCAATGATACAAAATCCGTTTTTCTCAATATCTACAAAAAATTCAATATCAAAATCAATATCTAGCCTTCAATATCTCAATATTAAAAATTCAATATTGACATCGTCTCAATATTCAATATCTGATCATTCAATATATTGCAATCCCTGGTCCCCATACTTAAGTCTCAAAATAACCCAAATACGCGAACGCCGTTAAAAACAGAGTTGGAACGATCCGTTAAGTTACTTTTTACTAGACAGTGGAACTTTGATCCATTTCAGATGGATCAACCTAAAACTCGCCTTATCTCAACATAACAATCATAAAACACACTCAAGAAAACTAAATTGAGAACTCACATGTCGGCACACTCGAGAATTAGAGGTAACTAAATTAATGTACAACTCGAGAATTAAGTATGATAACTTGAGAAGTTTAATACTAATTAGTTTCAATGAGGGAAATAAGTTTTGACTCTAGAAATGAAGTTTTGGTCTGAACCATTGGGACACCCCAGCTGTTCACCTTTCCACTGAGGGTTCACTCTAGTTTAGCTCGAATAATTGTGTTCTTCTTTCGCAATCGTTTCTTCTTCTATTTCAGGATAAGACGGCTCTACTCGCGTTTATTTTGTATCTTGAAATTGCGAATAGCAATTTCCCGCTGCTTTTTTTTAGTACTTTCCCGTGATTGTAAATCGGTTGTTCTGATTTTCTATTTGATGTTTTCAGTTGTCGCGAGAAAACTGAGCATGACAGGCTCCATTCGAATTTTTGAAAAATTAAACTTCATTCCAAAACCTCGTATTTCGTGTTCCTCAAGGTCAAACTTCCAGATATGACCGACTGGCACACATCTTCTAAAATTGTCAACTCTCCAGGTCAGCGGCTACTAGTTCGAAATTGCATTTTTGTCCATTCTGGTCGAATGTCACACTTGGCAGAGACGGTGAAAAGCATGTAGAGCTTTGTTTAGACGCTAGCCAGTCGTTTTAGAACCTAGCTTTATTTTCCGTCCATATGTACTTCCAGGCGAATGTTTCATCAATTAGTGCTGTTGTAGAGGAAGGGCGGTTGAAGTAATTACTTTTAGTGACAAAACATTAAATGCTGACTTGACTTAATTACCGCAATAGTTTATTGGTGTTTTTATATAATGCTGGTATCGGCCCTATCCAGCTTGTGAACGACCGAACCTAAACGGAAGGGCCCTTTTTATAATCTACTTTTTTATGTTTTATACCATTTACCTGGTTTATAGTTGTTCTACACAGTTTTCTAAATATTTTCTTAGTTTTGAGATCAAAATGGTGGCTGAACTTGAAAAATCAAGTACGGACGTGGAAACCAATGAACCACGCGGAGGCATGCTAAAACGTAAGCGAATGCGACTACTAATTATTTAATACAACAGTTGTACATTTTGACAGATTTTTGCATGCCTTTTTCTCAGACAACCTCAGGATAATTTGGGTCTGATAACTTAAGTCCTGCTTCCAAAACTTGTTGCGAAAGGCTCGTTTCTGTCACCAATGTCGATACTTGCTAGCTTAGACGATTTTTTTTACAGCCGATGAAAACTACTGCAGTGAAAAGGAAACTTCAACTTCGATCGAGCTTGAATTACAGTCGCCAGGCTTTGCTGTAAAAGTTGTTCCAATTGCTGGAGATGCTTTCGATATCCAGGTTTGTATTCGGTTACATATCAGTATTTAGACAACCGCGTATTCAGACTGGTCAGTATTTAGACAAATACTGTTTCAACCAATCAGAATCGAGACAAAGAAGAAATTAATAAATGATTATGATTTATTTTGGATTTTTTATGTCTTTTCTCGATTCTGATTGGTTCATAAAGTATTTGTCTAAATACTGACGAGTATGAATACGCGGTTGTCTAAATACTGGCTGCACTCCTTTGTAAGCGTAATCAAACTGTACCCATAACTGCAGGTAAGTTTGGTTTTCAAATTCTGAATTTAAGCTTTCAAGTGTACTCTTCGAAAACTGGGCAAATTTTGAAGGCGAAACTGTCCACAAATAGTTTTTTTAGCTTTGACATAATCAAGGTGTTGCAACCGGGGCTAGGGATTTTAGCAGACCGGTTTTTTAGCGGACTCAGAACAATTATAAACTGTGATAGCTAACTTTAAACGCGGCATTGGCGATTAGCGACCGCTTGCTCCGCTGCGCTGAAATTCAACCTGAGTGTTATTGTGCGCGTAAATCTTTGTTTTGCCGCTACTCGAGAGTGTTGTGTTTTTGAAGTTGATAGTTTTGTTGACAAATCGTGAGATAACTGACTTACTTGGGGAAGCTTGGCCCCAGACAGCGTCTCTTTGAGTCTGTCAATCAATCATCCATCACTTTATTACGTTGGTCCGCTAAAAGACTCATTTTTCAATTTTTATGCCAAAAGATTGATCTTTTAAACGATCGGTCCCCGTTGCAACCGGTTGCTGGACAGGGCTGTACAATGAATTATTGAATGAACATAAAAATTCAGTAACTGAAAAATAGATTTTTAGTGTTGGGCATTGCCAATTTTATTTTTCGATTGGCTCGTGCGGATTAATTGCAAGTAGTGTGGTATCAGGAATATCAAACTTTCCAGGCTGGTTATGTCTGAAAAATCCGTAACTCCCGACCATCTAGAACAGCAGCGCTTTCTTGAAGTATACATAAATTATTGGGATGCCAAACTGATGCGCTGAATGGTTGATTATCAATGCGATTGTCGGCTAGACAGAAAGTTTGGTTTTGGGTACTCTTGTCTTACATTTTTACGTTTCAACGAAATAATAAATGGAAACCACACTTCAGAACTTTTGAATCGGGAAAGCGAAAGTCTACCTATCAAAAAACTTGCAAAATACTCTTTTATTTACATTTGTTTTCAACATAATCGCAAATATACATATCTACCCTATCTTATGGAAAATGATTAACATTACAACCCCGTTTAAAGACAAACTAGACTTTTTTAATTACTGTCTCATATCGCTTTTGGTGTGCCTATCGAAAGTCCTCGAAACATAATTTTTGATAAGTTATACAGAAAATGGGCTTATCATCTGCAAAGAATAGCATGGGTTCACGACATATAAATCTACAATGATACAAATGAACCTATACTTAATTGAATCGTATGACAATTCCGAGCTTCCAACACTGACGGCTCTCTACCTTGACTTCGAAAAAGCGTATGACAAAGTACCTTGAGGAGGCAGATGACACTGGGATCCCACGAACCTCGACCGCAGTGGGATTCGAATGCACGAATCTCATGTTGAGAGACGTATACCTTACCCCATTTGGCCACGGCCTCTCATCTAAATGCGACTCACTTATCGTATTTTTTAACGACATTCTCGCTTTTCTGCGATTGTCTTATTCTGCTGTGATTCTGAGTTTAGGTTTCAATTGCTGACTCGCTTGAGAGAATTGTTAGCGTTAAATTGTTTAAAGTTCGGTGAATTGATTATTCTGCAAAAGTTTAACCAATAGTCTTGTCTGGATGGTGAGTTTTTAAAATAGTAGTTTTTTTTTGCGGTTAATTGCTGTCTGTTAAGCACAACCCAACCTAAAACGTAGATTTGGCATTTCAGATCGTAGTTTCTTTCTTGAATTTGTATTTTTTCCGCGAACTTCAAAATTCTTTGTTTTTATAACTTCCTTGCGCGATATGGTCAAATTGCGTTGTCCTTTATTATCGATGCTTCTAGTTGTAGCTGGAATTGTGAGCTGTTTCAACCTGTGTTTTTTTTGAGAGAAATCAACAGGTAAATTTTGCTTATCAAAATAGCTGAAGCTATCGGTGTTTCAATACGGTCTACAGTCTGCCCGATATTTGAGTAAGAGCTGCTGATCTTTCGTGCTGCTCACTTGTTCATATTGAAATCAGTTGAAACACAATGAGCGGTCAAGCCTGGAAATTGTGAAACCTTTCTGGTTCAACCAAGATATTTGGTTCTGCTGCTATCAAATTCATCGAATCTTTACACCATTTTTGTTTGCTCCATGTTTGCTCCACCATCTGAGTTTCCTCCTTGCGTTTTTTCAATTATTTGACTTGAATGAAGTTCTTTATCGCTTATTTATTGTTCGTATATGGAATTTTTCTATAGCAATTCTTTACCGCATATTCATATCGTGGTTCGTATGGGGCAAGGCTTAGCAATTTTGGAGGCCTTTCTTTGTTGTAAGTTGTCGATTGTTCCGATAACCTGAGTTTTTGATGATTTATCGAACTTTAGGGTTAGCTGGCCTTCTATGATGCGTTAGATGGATGGGGAAATTTCTGCGAGACATCTAGCACAGCTTTCGCGCAACCACATAGCTTTATCTGGTTGCTACCTTTGAAAAAACTGTGTTTGAATTTGGTCCTTAGGTTTTATTGATGCAAAAAAGTGACCAGCTACCTTTTTATATCAGGTTTAGCTCGTTAAAAAGTTACGTATGTCACAATCAGGGTTTTTGTTTTTTGTTGCGCTCAATCGCGCCCACCAAGTTTTTGAAGCTTTTGTCTAATTGTTTGCACAAGCGTTGCTGAGTTGAGGATCAGGGTTGGGAATGTTTTAAAACAAGGCAAAAAACACGTTTTAAAACAGAAAATAGTGTTTTTTTTTATTTTAAAACCTTTATCGCTAAAAACTAGACTTGTCTGGGAGTCGAACGCTGCGATAGGGGTATGAGCCGCCTTCCCTTTTTGAGTCGGCTCGATCTCTACAGTGCTGCAGCGGATCATCTCAATGCTGCACCGGATCATCTTAAACATTTTGTAGCAAAAGTAAGAGATGATTAACTGACTCCTGTTTTTCTTGCCGCACATCTATCAGATCATCGGTATTAGGGCAAAAGTTAGAACTGAACAAACTGCAAAAAAAACAATAAAACAAGTTTTCTATTTATAAAACGCTGTTTAATTGATAAAAACGTCAATAAAAAAACGTTTTTTTCCCAACCCTGTTAAGGATTCTTTGTAAGGCCAAAAAGGCATTTTTAGGCACTTTTTGAAAATGTTGACCGCGCGTCCTCCTAAATCCGCCCCTGCATGAAGGAATAACTTTTGACTAATGAACTGGCCTAAATCGATCGGAATTTATCTTCAACGCGTATTCTGCACTTCTGATTTGTTGGGACGCCATTTCCCAACGCAAATCGACTTTTTCATAGACCCCCCCACCAAATTTTGACCCCCTAGAATATTGACCCCTTCAAGTTTTGAGAGTTCTGAATGGCCCCTACTAGAATTCTATACCCATGTTTACCCGTTGTTCTCTAATTGTGTTAGTTTTATGAAAAAGGTTCAATCATAAAAGATTCTTGAAATTTAAAGAATTTTGACAGAGTAAGTAAATCCTTTACTTTTGGGTTCCTTAATTTAACTTACACTTTTCAAGTGATTGTTGGCTATGTTTATATGTGTGAGTGGGTTAGGTTTGTTTGTGTTAGGTGAATTTGACCGAGTTGGTACAGGAGTTGCACCAGGTGCTGATGGACAGGGAGGAGTCCTGTCAGTTCACTTGCTTCTCCCTACATCTCAACGGACAACACATGGATAACTTCTCAGAACTCAAGTCATTCAAGGACCTCAAGCCGGGCGCCACCATCCGAGTACGCCACGGTCAGTACTAGTCCCTTAAACGAGCCTCACCCTATATCACAATCGATAGAAGGGTCACAGATTTGAATTAAAAATAAAATAGCACTTTTCTACAACACAAGTGCAGAATACTTGGTTAACCTTGCGATTAGTAATAGGTTTTAGCCTGGGTTTTTTCTTTAAACACTGCTATCCGAATTAGCTCACGTGTCATTTTACGTGTTTCTTGAACTGTAGTTTCTATATAGTATAGAGGAAAGCCCTTGCTTGGTGCCTCAAAGGTGCTGAGTTTAATTCCGGGAGTTTTCAATGTCGGATTATCCAAATTCTACTTTCCTATGCATAGAATTTTTGTCTGGATTAAGCCGCACCCCCCAGTAAATTATAGCCCCCGCTAAAAATAGATAGACTATATTTTTATGCACCGTGAAAAAGCATGTACATGTTTAGTTGACCATAATTAACTCGAAACTCTATTCTACGCTTTCACTCGTACGCACATAACTCGTAACTCTATGTAACACTTTTGTATAAATGCACAAACGCACATTTGATTTAATGGAAATCACATCGAAATGTTTCAAAGTAAATTAAAAAGTAAAAGGTGTGGGGAGTTTTTTGCCACTAGGCTGGGAGGGAGCTCTAATGGTAAATTACTGCAAAAATTACTTTAATTGCCATGCGTTTTGATATATCAGCGTTAATTGTAAATATCCACGTACCATTTTGCATAATTTATTCTTTTTTGTTCAGGCCAATTTGACCAGGTGCAAAATTCGCATATGCTTAACCTTTGTTTTGTTTTTTTTAAAGGGGGGATTCGTTACTAGCTATACGAGGGAAGGGGGAGGGGGATAGTTGAAGAGATCACCAAATTCAAATGTAAAAAACCGGGGTTTGAAAATAGTCAATTTCGGCCACCCTTTGGACTAACTTATGCGTTGTTTTAAGATTTTACCTATGATGCTCAGAGCGTATGGCGAGTTATCTCATTGTCAAAAGTTTTCCCATATGAAATGAGGCAAGCTAAGTGGCGCGAATTCTCATAAAGGTACTTTTTTCGTACATTTTCTGATCCGACCGAATTGATTTACTGAGTCCTCTCAAAACACTTTGGAGATCCTATTTTGAGCCAATTACGAATTTAAATAAAAAAGATCACAAACGACAGGTTCAGGCATTTTTTGGAAGGTTCTGACCAAAAAATTGCCTTTTGTAGAAAGAATTCAAGGCCGGTCAGCCAGATTGGATGTCCTAAAATACTAGTAAACAGGGATCCTTTGGATTGGCAGGGGATCGAATCCCTGAGAAGGGGCGTTGCTCTTGCCCGAATATAGTAATTCCCTTTAAGACTCAAATTGTAACACTTTCGATTTGATATTGGCTGTTGAGAGAAAAAACAATCAAATTCACTTAAACTATTCACTTAAGCAAGCGTTATCAAATCGGAATATAGACTTTCTCGGGTTAAAAACTTGTTTAACAAAATCACTTGAATCTTTAGACTTCATTCGCGTGCTCTATTCACGTGCTGTCAAGCTCACATTTTTGAAAATTTACATTGAACTACCAGTCTACCGCTACTGCGTCATGCAGTACTCTTGATATTGGTAATAAAATCAATTTTCTTGGCTTCTCCGGCAAACCTGGCATAAAGATAGCAAAAACGCCTGGGCGGCGAAAGTCGTGGGTTCGAATCCAGGAGTTCTTTTTTTTATAATTCAAAATTCTAAATGCCTGTCGTTTGTCTGATTGTGTTTCGTCGGCTTAATTGCCGCATCACCGATTTTTTTTTCACAAAATGGAATCGTATGATAGCTTTGCTTAAATTAAACTCGAACTTTCTTGGTTTTTAGGCACACGTTGTTTTTGAGAAAAGTAGTATGCCTGTCCTTTGTTTGAATCTGGCCGGAACCTGTTTTTTTTTTTAAGTTCAAAAAGGAAGTTTTCTGTTTCTTAATATCTCGACATGTTGCTTTTCGACTTAGTGACTTTTGTTTCATTTTCTCTTTGGTAGCTTGCGATGCAATTTCTGTGGCATCGCAAATGCAAACGGAGCGAAGCTCCGCTTCGCCTCTGTGTGTTTTATCAGTTTACTAACCTACTTATGAGTCGTTCGATGGAACCTTGGTTTGTATGTTTTCCTCCGGATCGCGGAAACGTAAAAAATCTGGAATTTAGTATGGAATTTATAGTTCAAATTTTAGTCTTTACAGCATTTTTTGTTGAAAATTTTGTTTGAATTTTCATTAAATGCCGTCGAATGTGTTTCTAGACGTATTCTATGCAAATAGAAAATTTAATCAGACAACAATTTGAAGTTTTTTTTGGACGTAGTGGCTTTTCATTCCTTTCCTGTCTGTTATGTTACAATGCGATTTTTATGGTATTGCAAGTGATGCGAAGCTCTGCGTCGCCTCTGTTGACTTAAATGGTTCGGTTTATTTGCCGCATCATATGTCATTTGAAGTCAAAAATATAGTGTGGGAAGCGTATACGAAAGGAGTTTCAAAAAATGTTAATGGATTTTTCTCTGATCCATAGTCGGCCACCCAAGTATTATCTGATTCAATTACCGCTTAATAAATTCTATTTCAGCACTAATTTAATTCCAGTTCTGGCAATTGTGTTACCTCAGTTTGAACTAACTCTAGACAAACAAGATGTTTGATTGATATTTTAAAAAGTTTTTCTTTTCAACTCAACGATTTTCGTCTCGTTTCAATCGACCAGTTGCCTTGCTATCTGTTGTTTCGAAGTTGGTGCAAGCAGGCAATTGGTGTACAAATTGATTCTTTGCACTGAGCGCTTTTGCTAATTTGTATTATCAAAGCTTGTTGCCACTCGCATTAGTAAGTAATTGTCTTTTGTCAAACTCGCACAGGAAAAAAAAACATAACAGAAATGAATTAATTGTGAAATTTTTCTGTGATTCAATCGGCTAGCAGTGTAGATTTCATGAGCGCTGCTTTGAGTGGGTGTGTGTGTTTAGAGCCATACAGTGTGCGTGAGGCAAGGGTGCACGTGCGTCATGTGAGGGATCTGATGTGTGGGGGGTGTGAAGAGATGACACAGCAAGAGATGTACTCGGGAGAAAGAGGCTGCTCCGTCTCCGTCCTAGACCACATAATCCACGAGTCAGGCTCTCTCAGTCAGTACTTACTCACTTCTATCCCGCCTCAACTCGTATCGTCCTCATATATGCATATATAAAGTCCAGTACTGTCCTAATTGCAATAAGTTGCCAATTTTTTTTTTCGAATTGCGTAGTTTTTACACGCTAGCTTGTGAGCATTGTTATATTACGAGTCCATTTTTGAGAGGATAGAAAGAAAGAAAGAAAAATGTATTTCTCCAAATCGTTTCAAAGTAAGATATTTCAACAAACATAGCAGAAAATCATATAATAGCTCTCGGAGAGGTCAGACAACGGGACTAATGTCCGCTTTACAGTCTGCCCTATAGTAGTTCATTATGTGTTTTCAGCATTTTGAAGGAGAAAGAATAATGTTTATTCATATTTTTGCAACAAGAAAAGATTCAAGAAAACTATAATTTCATAGGAATACAGCCAGGAAAATCTGTTATGAGCTCTCAACACTAACAAGGAAGGAACACGCGTTGAAGTGAAACCCAACACGGTTTGCCTGGTTGAATAAAACAATCAAGCCAAATTTGTTCCAAAAGTAACAAATTGGGTTGATTTTTTTCTTTTCCAAATTTTTGTCCTACTCAGAATCTTGAGACATTACGGCGACGAAACGTTTTTGCGCAATCACGATTTGTAGCTGTCAGAGCAATGATAGAAGCAGAAGTCCAAAAATTAAGCGAGAAAAGAAAAACTGGAAAAAAAACAGCAATTTACTTTTATGCGGAATTTAATCATTTGGTTTCAAGCTGAAAGGTTTTTTTAAAACCAATGGACCTTTGGCGTGTTCGAGGAAAGCACCATTTAGTTTTTTGCGTGGGTTCATCATTAATTAAAACTCAATTCAAAGAAATTTTTTCCGAGTTAGTTCACTGTTGTTGTTGTCTATGTAGCTGTCTTTGCTATCGTGATAATATTTCTCTTGTTCTTCAGTTAAGGAATCTGCGTCTCATGTCAGAACTCCTGTGTTCCTAAATAGCTGTTAAAGTTGAGCACCAAAAACTCAAAAAAAATTTCAGATTGCTTTTAAAACGCCTAGTGTTTATAGAACGCCTAGTGGTCCGCGCATAAATTTTAAACAATAACGTATCGTTCAAAGCCAACTCTGGGTGAAACCGATTTATTGAGCGCAAGACAAATATCAACAAGATAACCGGTTGTTGTGAAAGTAGCACAGAATGTTCCGACCTTATTCATATAAACAGAAAAAGCTTTTTAAATTTTTTTCTCAGTTAAGTGTCGCGATTTTTAGTGTCGCGGGTGTCGTGATTCGAGTACTATACGATCGCGTAGAGAATTAGTGACTTAGGCCAGATCGAAAAAATTTATTCTCATTAAGACCGAGCAAAAAAATGAAAAGAAAAATCAAAAACTTTTATTGTCAAATAAGCGCTAAAAGCAACTAGTTTTCATGATAGTGAAATCAAGTTGTGGAAGTTTAAAATTTTGTGGAAAATGGTTAATTTCCATAAACGAACGTTATTTGAACGTGTTTTTTGCCCGAAATTGAAGTAGAAATCAAAAGTTTTAATCAGTTTTTTTTTTTTGAGTTTTTTTTGAAATTTTTAAATGTCGTTCGAAACACGACATAAAGGGCTTTAATATGCTATATCACTCAACTCTCTCCGATTATTGTTCGTGGTAGCTGATTTTGTATTGAAAACAAAACTAAAACACACCCGAAAACAAAATTCATCTCCATTTTGAATGTTCGGAAAAATAACTCGTACATGTGATTCGTGTATATTAAAAAAGCTATTTTACATGAAAAGGTGTTCAGATGTATCGCTTCGCCTTCTGAAGTGTATGAGTTAAAGAATTTTTTTCTGTAGCAAATAAATTGGCTTTAATGTAGAGATATTGCAGCATCCGTAGTTGAGAACTCCTTTTTGTATGATTACCCTTACGATAAGCAAGGGCATTGAAATCGGGAAGTAGACCTTTGTTTCCCGTAAACCACTTTGTCCACAGGACTCATTGGTCTCCTGGTGGTACCATGGTTCATAATGATTTTTAGTGTCATTTTTTGTAGCGTCTCTTGCACACTTAGCCTTGTGGTAACGAATACACCTGGGTCGGCATAGGTCCTTGGTTCGAATCTGACTATTTGTCTGCTCATGGTTGGTCGGCTTAGTTGTTACATCTAAGAATTGTTTATTTTAGCTGTGAACAATTTTCACTGCAGTTTTAAGCTTTTTAAAAATCCGGCTGAATCAAAATTTGCTTTTTACATGGGTTGTAATTTTACCAGCTCGATTTTTAAATTTTCGTTTTGTATCGTTTTTACTTTTTATATAATTCTCAGCTTCATTATTATCGATTTAGTGGCCACAAAGTGCGTCGTTACGACTGAAAAAAGTTTTTTCGCAAGTGTGTGTATCTGAGGAGAAAAGGGACCTAACATTATTTGATTTTTTTTGTTTCTTTTTGGCATGAAGGTTTGCTGATGTTTTTCGGCTTTGTTATCGCTGGGTTAATATAAATTCAAATCGGATCTCCCTTCTGGCGGAGAGATGAGACAACTGCTTGAGACGTCGAAAGCTTGTGATTCATTTCCGGTCAGGCCGTTTTTTAAATTTTCTGTCTGGTTATTGTGTCTGCTTATTTTTGTGCTTTCTCGGATTAACGTCCGCATAGTTTCCGTAGCTCGATGGTTCAGCTTTAATCTAAGTTGCTGTAACCCCCATGCTTGAGATGACAATGCCCGCGAGTTCGATTCCAGTTGAGACTTGTTTTTTTTCACAGAAATTTTAGGCTAATCTAGATTATTGTCTGCCTGCTTATTTTTTGTCTGCTTAGTTCCGCAGTAACGACTTATTGAGAACTCGGCTTATCTATAGCATTCCCAAAGGTCTATGTAGGATTTTTTAATGGTGCAGCCTGTTTTGTTTTGGATATTTTGGGCTTTTGTTGCAATTTTAATTGACATTGTTGCATTTTTTTGCAATTTTGCTGAAATTTTTGCTCAGCTTCACCTGTGTTGAGTTTTGGTTTCTTGCTAGCCTTCTTCAAGCTCTTGCGGTTAATTTTGTTCCGGATATTTTAGGCTTCTGATGCAATTTCTTAAATTTTTACTGACTAAAACAATTTTTTTGATGTTACTTATTCAATTTTTTTTTCTGATTTGATTTCATTCGTAATCATTCATTTTTGTATTGCAAATGGTGCGAAGCTCGGCTTCGCCTATATGTAGATTTTATACTGCTAATATAAAAATTGAGAAGATGCAATATTGTGAGAAAATGTCTAAGTTTACTATTTCTTCGTTGTTTTTCGTGTGTCTGTACTACATGAGCAACATGACATTTAAACGATAATTGTTGATCAGTTTTTTCCTAATTAGTTGCACGAATTTTCATTTTTAACACACTAATAAAGAAAACAAACGGATAATTGAGCATTGTTTTCGAAGCAATAGATCCTAGAGATATTTCTAGTTTTTTTTTTTCAAAAAAAGCTTGAGCAAAATGGTACTTAACAAAAAATATTTTCAATTTAATTCTTCTTGAATTTTGTTTTACGAGTTAACATAACCTGTTACATTTTTGTCCAAAGAACTCAGATAAATGTCTGTACTTTTACATATCTGAGGGAGATCAATTATTTAGTTATAAGAATATGGTCCTAGTACACCACACTCCTAGTACACCACCAATTCAAGCGGTGAAGATGAGGCGTCCGCTAGATGGAAACATTGCAAACGATTCGATAAGTAGCTTATGAAACAATTAAGTAATTTAACTAACTTTCGATTTTCTTTAACAGTACCTCTTGGTCAAAAGTATTAAAAGCTTCTTTCGAATCAATGAAGAATTTCTTACTGAGTGCTTGTTATTAAAACGGACTTTTTAAAATAAGCTTGGCCATTGCGTCTATTATTTGATGTTTCTTGCGGAAACCAAATTGTTTGCAATAGAAAAGGGATAAGCTCTCGAAGTTCCCATATACCCGATTAAAAACATTGTAATATTTCCGTGGACTTTCTCCATACTAAAAGAGGAAAATTTGCCTGTAATTATTCTCTTCGGGTTTGGATCCTTCTTTAAGAAGTGGTAAGACTTGGCATTCTGAGACTCCGGGTTTCAATGATTGATTGACAAGAGTGATTGAAAGAGGAATTGTTACTTGTTCTGATAATTTCAGAAGTTTTTTTACATCATCCTCTCCCGATATTAACTTATTCATTTAACTCAAGAGTTTCATCTACTTGCCTTGATGCATTTTGAAAAAACAAAACAATTTATCAAAAGTTCTTTAAGTTGTAGCCAATTTTGGTACGAATCACTTCAAAATTTTAGCAGATCGCTAGACAAGGAAGTAGTGCTGGAATCAACACAGGAATTGAGTATGGGAATAATGCTCTGAAAATCACTTTTCTCACACAATTCATTTTGTAAATTTTATGTTTGATGTGATTCTCCAATTCAACCAAGAAACTTTAGTTCATTTTTTTTCGGCAATGTTATGTCTGTTTTGACTTTTGCCCGAAGATTTCTGAAGCTTTTCATTAAATTCATTTTCATTCATCTTTCTTTGAACCCACTTTTGGTATAATTTTTTTCGTTTGGTAATCATATTTTTAATTTTGTTCCTGAAGTTTTAATTTTCACTATGCATTTGAGCTTCCGTTAATTTTGCTGGTAACCTTCGCCAATTTTTTTTGTTACCTCATGAAGCTTCACTTGAGCTGGATGATTCAAAAAAGAGACATCTCTAAGTGTCTGCTTTTTTTGTTTTCTTCATTCAGGACCACTGTAAAATGATCTCTGTAATTATGATGCTCAAGTTCTTGTAAATCGTAATTTGTAGCAAATAAATTGGCTTTAATGTAGAGATATTGCAGCATCCGTAGATGAGAAGTCCTTTTTGTATGATTATCCTTTTGTTAAGAAAGGTTATTACAATCAGAAAGTAGACCTTTGTTTCCCGTAAACCACTTTGTCCACAGGACTCATTGGCCTCCTGGTGGTACCATGGTTCGTAATGATTTTTAGTGTCAATTTTTGTAGCGTCTCTTGCACACTTAGCCTGGTGGTAACGAATACACCTGGGTCGGCTTAGGTCCTTGGTTCGAACCCGACTATTTGTCTGCTTATGGTTGGTCGGCTTAGTTGTTACATCTAAGAATTGTTTATTTTAGCTGTGAACAATTTTCACTGCAGTTTTTAGCTTTTTAAAAATCCGGCTGAATCAAAATTTGCTTTTTACATGGGTTGTAATTTTACCAGCTCGATTTTTAAATTTTCGTTTTGTATCGTTTTTACTTTTTATCTAATTCTCAGCTTCATTATTATCGATTTAGTGGCCACAAAGTGCGTCGTTACGACTGAAAAAAGTTTTTTCGCAAGTGTGTCTATCTGAGGAGAAAAGGGACCTAACATTATTTGATTTTTTTTGTTTTTTTTTTGGCATGAAGGTTTGCTGATGTTTTTCGGCTTTGTTATCGCTTGGATAATATAATTTCAAACGGATCTCCCTTCTGGCGGAGAGGTGAGACAACTGCTTGAGACGTCGAAAGCTTGTGATTCAATTCTGGCCAGGCCGTTTTTTAATTTTTCTGTCTGGTTATTGTGTCTGCTTATTTTTGTGCTTTCTCGGATTAACGTCCGCATAGTTTCCGTAGCTCGATGGTTCAGCTTTATTCTAAGTTGCTGTAACCCCCATGCTTGAGATGACAAAGACCGCGAGTTCGATTCCAGTTGAGACCTATTTTTCTTTCACAGAAATTTTTGGCTAATCTAGATTATGGTCTGCCTGCTTATTTTTTGTCTGCTTAGTTACGCAGAAAGGAATTGCTTGAGAACTCGGCTTTTCTATAGCCTTCCCAAAGCTCTATGTAGACTTTTTAATGGTGCAGCCTTTTTGTTTTGGATATTTTGGGCTTTCGTTGCAATTTTAATTGACATTGTTGCGTTTTTTTATTGCAATTTTGCTGAAATTTTTGCTCAGCTTCACCTCTGTGTTGAGTTTTGGTTTCTTGCTAGCCTTCTTCAAGCTCTTGCGTTTATATTTGTTCCGGATATTTTAGGCTTCTGATGCAATTTCTTAGATTTTTACTGACTAAAACAATTTTTTTGATGTTATTTCATCAATTTTTTTTCTGATTTGATTTCATTCGTAATCATTCATTTTTGTATTGCAAATGGTGCGAAGATCGGCTTCGCCTATGTGTAGATTTTATACTGCTAATATAAAAATTGAGAAGATGCAATATTGTGAGAAAATGTCTAAGTTTACTATTTCTTGTTGTTTTTCGTGTGTCTGTACTACATAAGCAACATGACATTTAAACGATAATTGTTGATCAGTTTTTTCCTTATTAGTTGCACGGGTTTTCATTTTTCACATACTAATAAACAAAACAAACGGATAATTGTGCATTGTATTCGAAGCACTAGATCCTAGAGATATCTCAAGTTTTTTTTTCAAAAAAGTGTGAGCATAATGGTACTTAACAAAAAATAATTTCAGTTTAATTCTTCTTGGGGAAACCAAATTGTTTGCAATAGAAAAGGGATAAGCTCTCGAAGTTCCCATATACCCGTTTAAAAATATTGTAATATTCCCGTGGACTTACTCCATACTGTAAGAGGAAAAATTTGCCTGTAATTATTCTCTTCTGCTTTGGATCCTTCTTTAAGAAGTGGTAAGACTTGGCATTCTGAGACTCCGGGTTTCAATGATTGATTGACAAGAGTGATTGAAAGAGGATTTGTTACTTGTTCTGATAGTTTCAGAAGTTTTTTTACATCATCCGCTCCCGATATTAACTTATTCATTTAACTCAAAAGAGTTTCATCTACTTGCCTTGATGCATTTTGAAAAAACAAAACAATTTATCAAAAGTTCTTTAAGTTGTAGCCAATTTTGGTACGAATCACTTCAAAATTTTAGCAGATCGCTAGAAAGGAAGTAGTGCTGGAATCAACACAGGAATTGAGTATGGGAATAATGCTCTGAAAATCACTTGTCCCACACAATTCATTTTGTAAATTTTATGTTTGATGTGATTTTCCAATTCAACCAAGAAACTAGTTCATTTTTTTTTTCGACAATGTTATGTCTGTTTTGACTTTTGCCCGAAGATTTCTGAAGCTTTTCATTAAATTCATTTTCATTCATCTTTCTTTTGGTATAATTTTTTTCGTTTGGTAATCATATTTTTAATTTTGTTCCTGAAGTTTTAATTTTCACTATGCATTTGAGCTTCCGTTAATTTTGCTGGTAACTTTCGCCAATTTTTTTAGTTACCTCATGAAGCTTCACTTGAGCTGGGTGATTCAAAAAAGAGACATCTCTAAGTGTCTGCTTTTTTTGTTTTCTTCATTCAGGACCACTGGAAAATGATCTCTGTAATTATGATGCTGAAGTTCTTGTAAATCTTAATTAGGAGTTTTTTGGATATGAAAACGATCTAAGCTAATTTTTGAATGATCCATTTTTCTAGTCACTTCCTTACGGCAAATATCTTACGCATTCGAATAATTTTGATTTTCGAGCAATATGTCTATGTTCATGTCACTATATATAACCGGCAGATGTTTTAACGAAAGTGTTTGGCATGCGTGTACAAAAATTTATAGTTGAATGATTTTCACGCAATATGTCACCATTTATGTCACTGCATATGGAGTGTTTGGCGAGTTGAGGCTCAAGTTAATTGTCTAATATTTCAACTAAGCTACTTTTTTTAGTTCTCAGTTTGTTGTTGAGCCAGATGATCTGAAAACGGAACCCTTCGGCATCAATGAGAGCTGCTTCTGACTACTCGAATGGACTTAACTTTCATTTTTTCCTCTGTGTTCTCGTAACTGAATCATTACACATCCACCTTGTGAACGATTTCTTGCCCAATAATTTTTTGTCCTTGTATGAGGACAGCTTCGCCTTCAATTTTGTTACTTAGCCAGGTTTCTATTAATCTAATTGTCAAGGGCCGAGAGAAGGTTCTTAGCTATAAACAAGTGCTTACAAGTTATTGTAGTTCTTATTTAGGAAACGGACATTCTCATTGAGTATTGTTAAAGTTTTGGTATAATAGCGAATAATTTTTTCATTTTTTGGCATCTGAACGCTGCTGCTGCCGAAAAACCGTTTCTTCAAAACTTTTCATAACCTGATAAATATTGTATATCGGTTGTAAGCCACCGTCATACAGCCCCGTTACTTTATAAGTTTTCCATTTTGCAAACGCAAAATATCCACTCATCCTTCGTCTAGACATTGCTATTCGAGAGTCACATTTCGCTAGATTGAAAAAGTTGACTATTGGGCAAGGATAATCTTCGAGTATTCATACAATCTTCAAAGTGGCGCTATTTCGCAGGGATTTCTTCTGGTTTATCATTTTTAATTTCTTGTACTCTTCGAGTAAAACAGACGCAATCTATTCCCTCTACTGAGTAATATATGAGCAATCGATTTAACATTTGAGCTTACATTTTCTTCAATTAATTGCAATGCATTGAAAACTTTTTGGAGTGTAGTGGATTAATCTCAGCGTGCATCTGCTTCTATTACAACTATGCGAATTTTATCATACTGTTGTAGTTCTCAAGCTGTTCAGCTTCGGAAAGAGTTTTCTTTTGAGATCTTCTTTTGAGTACGCAAGGTCATTTTTTCATGATTTCTACTTGTCTATAGTTTCCTGAATCATTGTGTTTTATGAAGGTTTTTCTTTTCTGAGGATACTTGCAATAATCTCTTTCATTGAACTTTGAATTGATGGCTGTTATGTTTCATGTCATAATTTAGTTTTCGTTTTCCTTTTACCGTCTCTGAAACTGTTTAGTTTGAAACTGTTTAATCAGCTCAAAATAAAAATAGTTCTCATTTTGTTGGCACTTTTTGCTGCCCAGTATTGGCAGTTTAATAGCGCGTATTCTCTGCTTTACCAGTGGCTATTGTTTCGTTTCTTCAAGCGCGTGTAACAGTTTTGCGTGGCAGTCGATTTGGGTTCTCGAGAAGTTTGGCCCAGTTATCGCATCGATATATAGATTTTAAGGCGAACAATTGGTTTAATAAAATCACTTGAATTATTTGATAGCTTGATTTTTATCGATTTTATTCTCTTAAAATGCTAACTTTGCAGGATTTTGCAAGCGGTCCGAAGCTCTTTTCTATCTCTGTTAACGTTTTTTTGTTTGACTTTTTTCTGTGACATCTATTTAAAGCTACTTTTCGAATTTTTGAATATTTTTGAAAATTGGTATTTAAGTTGGTAAAAATGATATTTTGTTTATCGAAAAGAAATATTTTCATCAAAAGATTGTTTAGGAGATCTGCTCTACAATTGAGGCTGTTTTTCAGCTTGAATCTTTTTTCTAATGAAAAGAGCCAAAAACGATCTTTTTCTGGGGTTAAGTTTCGAAAAAAAACTTGCACCAGTTTAATCATGGTAAAAATCAAAGCAACGCTTGCTTCTCATTAGTTGTTGAATGTCAACCCAGTTTTAACAATTATACTATCAATTTATGTTTTTTTTTAGTTTCGAAGATTTTGTTTTAGTTTCGAAAAACATTTGAATTCGACTTTGTTGGGAATTTTTATTTGAATCCTTTCTATCGAATTTTGTGGGATTACTTCTAGTCTTTTTTCCAGTTTCAACTCACAAATGTGAGACAAAATTGGCTGTTACAACTCAATGGCCGTAGTCTTTGTTTTTTTTTTCCAATCTGTGTTTCGTGCTAAAGTACTCGATCTAAGCTGCTCAAATACTGGGTTAGGAAGCTCTTGGTTAATTATCGCGGTCTTTAGTGCAAAATGGCTGTTTCAGTTAAACAATCGTCAGATTCCCAAACAAACCAGGCAACATCGCCCAAATTGAGCCAAAAAAGCAATGCAGAGTGCTACCAAGCTCCTAACCAAGGCGAGACTACCGAGTCAACAAAAATGTCTGCTGATATAACCCCAGGTCAGTTTAGTCCTGCCAACCAGCCTCTGCTGCCGATGATTCCGACGGAATCTCAGTCTCAGATCTCGATTACGTGTCTCAGCGAACTGTCCATGTCACACTGGAACCCAGTGCCCAACACTCGCAGGCTGAAGGGAGATCTGCTCTATCTGAAAGTGAAGACGTTGGAGGGGCTGGAAGTGGGAATCACAGCTTGCACGCGAGGCTTCTATCTCAACAGAATCACAGATGCCCACTTTGACTCTACGCCGTCAGATGATCCGAACATGAGTTTAACATTGGTGGAGCTGTTGTCCAAGATTAGCCTGTCTTTCAAGAAGAACTTCCCACTTGCCCAGAAGAAGCGGTGAGAAAGGAATCACATAAAATAATCTTTCAATAAACAATAATTAATATAGACCGGGGGGGCCGTTGCTTGAAAACAATTCAGATAACCTCGAAATCAACTCAGTTGCAAAGCTCAACAGTTAAGGCACATTCGGTCACATTCATTTCCATAGATTTTTCTAAATTTAAAGTTTTTAAAATCGGTATTACCATTACAGGGCGATATAGTCCAATTTTGCGCGAAATACCTATTTGTGTTAATAAAGAGTTCAATTAAACTGTTATCAGTTAAGTTAAGGGTAACCAAATGTAGGTAATATTGTCCGTCTTTTTATTCTGAAGCTCCTAAACTTTTGTAAACTGAGTCGATTCTTTGCGCTTTTTACTTACGCAGCGGCCTTTTTTGTTATTCAGTGTCCGCATTGTTGTTCAAGGTTTCTATAGTTAATTACACAATCAAATGCTTGTTTACACAAGCAAAACTTGTGTTGTAGTGTGATTTATCTTTTTTCCCACTTGTAGTCGCAAATGATGATGATGATGATGATGATTGGCTTTGCCACTCTTTCTTGAACTCAAGAGTGGTAGAAGGCTTACAAAGCCTCACAGAAAAATACAGTCTTCAAGTTGAGACTAAGATGCAATTGAGAGCATAAAGTTTTAATAGTGCGCAGTTTGTGCTAATTTTCTCAAGGTTAATATCCATAAATAACTGTGAGTCATCGGCGTAAAACTGGTAGGCGACATTATTGTCGATGAGATACTCAAGCACAGGATGCAGATAAAGGATGAAAAAATCGGACCAAGCACCTAGCCCTGAGGCACTTCAGTTTTAACCTGAATTTATCGAAAAGGTAACCGTTTGCCATAACTTGTACAAAGCGGTTGGAAAGGTAAGATTCCAAGAACTTTTTGACATTTTTAGCAATGTCAACCTCTTTTTTACAGAATTTCTAACAACAATGAGTGGTTTATCGTATCAAAAGCTGCTGAAAAATCTAACGATACAACCTACAAGTGCTTTCCAGAATCAATTTTGGATTAAATGTAATGTGCGCAAAGAAGAAGACCAGTTTCTCTATAATAACCTTCACGGTATGCCGATTGGAAGTTAGGCCACAAAATTTTTGTTGACAGTTGTTCGCTGAACTGAGCAAGGACCAGCTTTTCTGTAATTTTCGAAATTGCAGATAAGTTTGTAATCAGGCGATAACTTGACGTTGCTTCTGTGTTCATTCTATGTTTGAGGAGCGGTCTAATTACTCTATGTTTGAATACGCTAGGGAATACGTTTGAAACGCAAATATTGCTGCAACAACATGTGTTCATTTTGAAAGCGTTCATTTTGATCAATAACCAGCTATTAAAAACAGCCAATTCTAAGGATATTAACACAGACTATTATATTACAAATAGCATTTCAGCTTCAAGGTATCATGGATCTGTAGCTCAAAGTAGGATCAAAGTTTTACTCATTCAATTTTTTCCAGTAGCGTTATCGGTCATACTTTTGCCTTTGTATGCGAAGTGCAACTTCGCCTCTGTTTATACTGCCAATCAGGAGCGCGCCAAAAAAGTGAGACCCCCCTCCTCTCCCAAAAATATTTCTGGTATCGGAATATTTCCTCCTAAAGTGTCATCCTTTGGTATTATCTTACGACACCCATTTTGGTAGATCACCCGCAAAATTATTTAAAGGCGCATGCTGAGCCAATACAACTTTAATTGAGGAAGAACGAGTGCCAGAATTGGCGCAGAAACTTTTGGCAAATTAGTGTCTTATAGGGAGCTAGGAAAATCAAATTGGTCGAACTAAAAAAAAGACAAAGATTTTTTCCTCGAAAAATCGCACCTATCTAGAAAACTTCATGAGCTTCTCAGTGCTACAGTTCCACTTCTAGAAAAAGCTTTCTAAATCGCATAATTTGGGGCCATATTCTCAAAAGTCATAAAATGCAGTATTATATATGCAGGTGTTTTTTGCACTTGTGTTTTTGAAGCTTTCATTTGCTATATTTAAAAGTCGATGAGCGCAGTGAAGACTCCTATAGGTCGTGAGATTTTTTTTTGGGAAAAACTCTTAAAATGCTCTAATAACTACAGAAGTGCATTCATATTAGGACTAGTTTTAGGTTTTTCGCATTCAGAAATTTAGATGATGATAATAGCTTTCATTGGTGAGTTTTTCATCTGATTTTTAAGAGTTGATGAACTTGTTCAGACTCTTATATAGGTCGTGGTGATTTTTTTTGTTGCTTTCGAAGTTTCAGATCATTTCTTTGTTAAAAGAGTAAAGGGCACGAAAAACGTAATCGACTTCTAATTTCAAAAATGGAATTTAATTAATAGATTTGCCAGCCAAATTAAAATTTTACCTATTGATCGAGTTTTCTCACATTATACTGATTTTATATAAAAAAAATGGTGTCAATCATTAATTGTTCTTAAATTTCAAAAACTTTCAAAAACAGAATATTGGCGTGGCTTGGGGTATTCACATCGAATTAAAATCCCGACCGAACATTGTTTTTGTCCCGACCATTGAAATGGGGTGGAACTCTGTATTCGTGTGTTAGTTTTTTTGTTTGTTTTCCACGCAAAGTCAAGTACCGTCAATAGTCATTGGAGGGGGCCGAGTAATATATCATCTTAGTGTCCTTTTACTTGTGATTCGAACATTTGAATTTTTCTGATTTTAATTGTCAGATTTCCAGATGAATCAAATTTTTTCATTCTGATTCAGTTTTCTTAAGTTGTTTTGGTTTGTCAAAAAATTTCAAATATAAATTGTTCTTGAAATATAGAAACTGCTTTTCCTGATATATGTTCTAGTTCGAAAATTCTTCCAAAGTCATCGGTTTCCTTGTTCTTTTACACTTTTCCAACCTTTGTTGGCACCTTCTATTCCGTCAAATTGCAATGAAACTTGATACGTTAACAAATTGACTAGGCTCTTTTCTTGCCCCTCCCTCAACTTGCGAGTTTTTACTAGTAAAATTTCTGTTCGCGTTGTACAATTTTCATTACACTTGCGAGAGCAAGTGTTTTGTCATCGGAAACTAGATTTGTTCCCCACTCAACAAATTTTTCTTCAAGAACTTCCAGGTGCGTTCCGATTTGGCCTGGAGTTGACACAGTCAGTTTTTTTACCCTAAGGTCTGGGGTTCAACGCCCGCCAGGACCTTGTATCTATCAGTCTGTACAGAGTTGAAAGAAAAATCTAGTTAAATTGAAAGAAAAATCTAGTTAAATTGAATAGTCGGGTTTTCGTTTCTCGGCGGGTTTTTGTTGGAGTGGGCTCAAATGTTGTCTGCTCAAAGATTCTCCGCTTTTTTCCACTTCGAAAATTTCCTCCTTTGCCAATTTTAAATTCATGCCTTGCTCAGCATGTTTGCCGAGAATTCCGGCATGGTAAAAACGAGGCTTATGAACATGTATTGGAGTGGTATTTAATGTTATTTTTCTGAGGCGCTTTGGAAAATTTTTTCCTTTTCTTTGCAATTAATGTTCTTCTCAAAAAACTAGTCTTGAGATTTTAGGAAAATGGGTATAAATGGAAAGATCGCGTACTGTTTTGTTTGCCTGTGTGATCCTTTAGTCTCTCTTTACTATACCCCACTGTCTACAACCTTCGAACAAAACTGTGGGGGCGAATATTTGACCCATTTTTTGGATTTTTTTCTCCCGCAAAGCCTTTATGCCCAAAATTTTTGAAGCAAAAAGCTATGCTTCTCGTAAAAGTCGTATTTTGGATTTGTTTTCCGTGTTTTGGAATTTTTTTGTTTTCTCTCGATTACTAGCCTGCCAATTCTGAGATTGATGGTTTAATCGAAACAACAGGTTGTTGAAAGCCTATATGCATGAGCCTTCAAAAAATTAAAGTTTTAAAACTTTGAGAGATTTTTGGAAACATCTCTCGAAAACTGCCATGCCGATTCTTAGGTAAGTGTTCAATCGAGACACCCGGTTTTGGGAATCTTCTTTGCGTTAGATTTCGGAAATTCAAGTTTTTGAACTTCTGTGCGTTTTCCAAACTTTTTGACTTTTATTACAAACTACCCTATCAAATCTGAGATAAAGGGTTTCATCCAAAGAACCGGTTGTGATAATTTTTCCTGCAGAAGCGGCGACTCCTTTATTGTTTTAAGAAAAATATTGCCCTTGGGTAAAATCCAGTATCCCAAAAGTTTTCACTCTTTTCTTATTTTAGTAGAGAAACAACTAAGATTTTTTGGCAAATGCTAATTTTTGAAAAAGCCCATTTATTCCATATCAGTATACTAAAATCAGGAAATATCAAACAGGTATATCCAGCTTAAACTGGGCACCTAGTTATTTTCTATCATACAAAAATTGTGGTTCCCCTAATTTTTTTTTCTTTTTATTTCTTTAGTTTATTTTTATGTTTTTGTTGTATCGCAAGTGGTGCAAAGTTCCGCTTCGCCTCTGTGTAAAAATTGACAAACGGATTAATTAGGTTTTTTAGGTTCTTGTACTTATCCTTGTACAGTCACTCGTTACACCAAAAAATTATGCTCGTGTGACGTGGGGGAGGGAGGAAAAAGAGCCGGTAGCTATTTTGAACAGATTTGTTCTTCAAATTTTATATCGGTAATTTACGCAGTTAGACATAAAATCACGTAAACCCTTTATAAACATCGAAATTTTAAAATGGGTTAGTGGAAAAGAGCCAAATGAACATACACATGCGATTTCACTTTGTATCAGATCTATTTGAGGGATGTTTATAATTTACTGGGTGGGCTATAATGGGATAGACCAGTTTTTTCTTGATTTCTTGCTTAATTAAAACTGGAGTTATTTTTCATTGACAACGAAAGAAGCAGGCTCTAGAATTGTAAAGCAATATGTTTAGAGTGAGTCGCAATGTTCTCACGCGAGTGCCTACGTCACTTCAACACTGGTCTTGGATCGTGCCTCCCAGTGGCCATGTGGCCGATGGGCTCAAAGCAGAGGACAGCTGGCTCTACAGACTAGGCTACGAGGAACACATTCTGGGACAGACGCGCGACTGGAACGAGGAGATCCAGTCTATCCGAGAGATGAGCGGGAAGACGAAGAGCGAGCGACTTACGAGAGAGCGGGCAATGTACAAGACGTACAGCGACTTCCTCTCGGCTGCTGTTCGGGGTGCAGTGTCCGTGGTGGACGGAAACATGATGCCTATCAACCCGGGCGAGTGCCGCAACACTCACATGTACATCTACAACAACATCTTCTTCTCACTCGGCTTCGACGTCAAGGAGCACTACTTGGAGTTAGGGGGAGATGCGGCTGCTTATGTGGCATGCAACCATGACCTGAAGGGAGTGAGGGCGATTAGCGAGGCGGCGGTGCAGGCGGAGGGAATGGAAGGGGCACTGTACACTCTGGGTACTGCCATTGTGGACTACCGGGGATACAGGGTGGCATGCCAGACAATCATGCCAGGTGAGCAATACTACTCCCTGCAAACAGTTTACAACTCTCATCATACAGAACCTTAAACCTAGATATGATTTTAGTATTGCAAAGACAACCAGAAGAATCTCGTCAGTAAATTTTTTCGTTGGTATTATGTGGGAGTGATTAGTTGCTAATAAGAAATTCTATAGAAAATGTATTTTTTTTTGTTTTTCTCAGTTCAAGTAACAGAATTTGTTATAACTTCTGTTGTTTTTGGTTGTTCGATCCTTAGTATTTATCGCATTCTTTTTGGTGCAGTTAAATTAGTTCAATAGTTTTTGCACATTTTTTATTAAGTTTGTTTTTGGGTTTTTCGACATATGATTTTTTTAATTCTCATTGGATTATTTTTCCTAAAAGTAGCCATTTCATTTTAAAAATAAAGACCCAGCAAGCCTTGTTTCTAATCAGAAATAAATCAACTCAAAATTTTTGGTAATTTTGTTTAAAAGTGATTGACGCATTTTTTGTTTTACTCTGTCAACTTGAGTTGCTGTCTGCTACTTTTCCTGGTTAACTTTTTGTATTCCTTTAGTTTAAAGTGTGTTAAAATTGTAACGAAATAACTTTTTGGTTTTTTAGTTTTTCCGTTGTCTGTTTAAGAAAACGTTCTATTTAATTTCATTTCAATTCTAGATAATTTTGATACGTTTCCGGACTCATTCAATGATTTGTTTTTTTTTGCCTTTTTAGCAAGATTAGTTTAATTGCGTTTTTTAATTGAGATTTTGTTCAACTTTCTTTCTTTGGACTTTAATGTTGATTTTTTGACTGTTTTTCATTTCCCCAAAAAAATTTATTCCGATTTTGTTATTTGTATCTTATTTTCTATTCGTTAGCTTGCAACGTGGAGCTTGCGTTTTATCGGAAGTGATGCGAAAAGCTCAGTTTTGCCTTTATATTGAACGTTGTACCGAGATTATATGCCGTTTTAAAACTTCGTTGGGCTACACAGGACTTGCTCTGGTAAAAAAAAATCGGATAAAACAATCCATTTATATGCAGTTTGGAAGAACGTTTTTTAAACATGGTTTTCGCAGCAACTAAGTCGTTTAAACCAGAGATTGCCGCTAGACGAGCTCCGGTAAAAAAAAATCGGATAAAACGACAACTCAGCATTTACCGTACTTTGAGCTATGTATTATCCTTCACCTTAAATTGACAGCCCAATTTAGGGTTGACAGCATAGACTGTGAGATCCTTGTTAGGCAGGCTTTTTGAGATGCCACCTGACAGGCTGATGCCTTTCTCCCAAGCCGAATTGAATTTTAAACATACATAGAATGTGGAAGCCGAATTAGATTGTAAACATACATAGAATGTATGGTTTTAAGTTTTGGCTTGAAAATAAAATTATTATTATTTTGCAGGGTTTCCAGATCGCCGTGTTGATGAGAATAATTTTGATATTTCGTTAACATATCACCTTGGTGGCATTTAGTTCTCTTCATTGAATCAGTTGGTATCTTTTTCTCCCAACAGAATTCGACCGTGTGAAATGTGGATTTTTGTTGCAGGTGTTTTGGACAAGGAGCAAGAAGAAAGTGTTGTGCATGGGTCGATTGATTTTGGTAAAAAGATAGTCTCACACGAGGCATATGGACCGAAGCTAGAGAAGATAGCCCACGAACTCAAGTCCAGGCCTCACATCATGTGTGGTGAAGCAGAAGCTAATGATGATGCATCAGGCCAAGGGGAAGGGGGAGCAAAGGAGCACCTGGTGCATGTGTCCACGGAGTGCAAAGGCATCATTGGCAATGACGGCAGACACTATTTGCTGGACTTACTGCGTCTCTTTCCACCGGACGTTAACTTCATGCCGGACTTGGAGGACGGAGAGGAACTAGATGAGTCGGTGAAACAGAAGGGCTTCCCGCGCAAACACCCACACAAACTGCCGCAGCTGAGGTCAGAGCTAGTGGAGGCATTTGTGGACAGTCGCTACTTGGCATTTGTGAGTCATGCCACCTCCATGGTGCTCAAACAGAAGAACAACAGCAGCACTTGCCACACAAACTCCCCCTCAGCCCCAATCACAGGAGACAACACAGGTCAGTGCGCACACGTCTTTTATTAGACCCTAATTGTTGTGGGAAGTTGAAGGCGGTGTGGCTTCTCATTGTTTGACTCGTCATTAGGTGTATCTTCATTTCTACAATTGCACGGAGAGATTAAGCGAGTTGAAGTTAGTGTTGAGTCTTTATGTGCATCCTTTCTGTTTATGTAGAAGGGTATTAGTTTGTGTTGTGTAGACTCCTGTGATAACAAGAAGAGTGAGAGTGAGAATAGCGGGGAGGGGAAAGTTGACGTGAGCGACGAAGTGGACATGGTGAGCTGTGAACAGTTGAGTGACCTCGAGAGACACGCACACTCTTTGTCCAACAGCAGCAACATCAGGGAGGGAACCACAAAGTCTACTCTTGCAGAACTGGTGAAGAATATTGAGAGCAGTAGCAGTGCTGCTGTCGAAACAAAGGGGACAGAAGAGGGAAAGGAAGGGGAAGGGGACAGGGTGCTGTTGAATGAGAGCCAGAGGGAGATTGTGCGGCTGTCGGCCGAGGTGGCTGGATCCCTCAGTCCAGACAAATTCGACATCTCCTTCAACCTTGATGCATTCTCCCCAAACGTAACTTCTAATTTCTTCTACTACCATCACCCTGTCTATCTTTTTCTTAGTGGACTTTTTCAACATCAAACTGGAATTTAATGTGCTCAGAGTTACAGAGCTATCGTTAATTGAAAAAAATAAATCAGCAAACAGCAAAGGAAATACAATTTTCCTGAATTCACAGAAGTTTTTGGAAACCAAAATGAAAACAATCGACATACCTGATAAGATTTACTGACCTCATTGAGTGGGAAAAACCCTTCGTCTTTGCTCCGAACACTCTCGAAGGTTGGACGAGAACTAAGGATTAGGTTCCCCGTTTTTTACCTTTGCGATTACACTTGTTTCAACTTGCTTCCGAAAAAACTCGAAATTATTCAACCATCCAGCACTCCATGCTTGAGACAACAAAGGATTGTGGTCGAATCCGGCCGGGACCTGTTGTTTCTGCAAACTGGAAATTTTTAGCTTTCTCGGACTGTTGTTGATGTTTGGCGGCTGAGTTCCGGTAGCACACTCTTTTTGAAGGTTCAGCTTTCTTAATTTCCTAATTTTTTTTGAAAATTTTTCAATGAATTTTTTGAAGTAGTAGAACATGGTGAAGACTCTTTTATAGGTCGTGGTGATTTTTTTTCAGGAAAAATCTTGAAAAATATTCACTCTTAAATTTGATTTTTCGCTTTTTGACTCATATTTGTTTTTAAGCTCAGTGCATTTGCTTTCTGAAAAGGAAGGCAAACTCCACTATCGAACAGCAAACGCGTGAAGGTCACTAAAAACGTGATTGACATCTAATTTTGAAAGTGGATAGTATTTTTCAGATTCTCCAGCGGAATAAAAAAATATTGTTGTGATCCAGTTTTCTCAAATTCAGTCAATTTTATCGAACTGTTTGATGTCAATGCTTGGAATTTTTTCTGATTGTTCGCTCAGTGGGTTGATGTGCACGTAGTTTTGACTCATATGATTTTTTCGTGTAAACAAGTTGTTCAACAAGATCATTGAATCATTTTCATCAAAGATGCGTGTGTCAGACATATTATGAAATTTCTCCGATATACCTATTTTGAGCTTGTCTGCATTTCAAATACTCCTTCTATTCAATATTAGTTTTTTTTGTTGGTTTAAATATTACTCCGGATCGGTATATTTTCCGTTATTCGTTTTTCTTAGTTTGTTCGTTTACTCGGCTTACATGTTTTCAGTTTTTAACTCATGTGCTTAGCGGCGTCGTTGGATGAGCGAAACAAGTTCCCAATGCGCGTAAGCCTTTTGATGGACGAATGAAAAATTTTCAAAAAAAAAATAGGTTTTAAAAGTTTTTTTTGCTCAACGGATGTCTGCTCAAAAGTTGCCGGTTTTGTTACCGCTTCATAAGATGTTTCCGTGCCTTGTTTTTTTTCAATTGTCTTGTTTTTGGTAAAAATTGAACTTTTTCTAAAATGAATTCAGTCAAAGATAAATTATTAATCATTTTATCCACGAGGGATAGGACCAACATACGAGCTGTACAGCTCATCACGGCGAACCGCTGTTGTGCCCCTGCTTAAAATTTTTGTTGATCTAGATTTATCGACATTTTCAAAACTTTTTTTTACTCAGGGGCTTCCGTCTTCATTTCTGTCTGCTAATTTGTCATGATACGTTTGTGGTTGCCGAATTTTTTCGCTCATCTTTTTCTACCAATTTTGAATAACTCAAGGAAAGCTCGTTGGGGGCAAGCTTGGTATTATATTAAAGCTGTATTCGTCCTACTTTGGATTCTAAAATTGGTTCAGAAAGTCTCTCAGTGTCAAAAAAATGGTCTGAGAGTATTAAGAGTGATGATCGTAGTGAAGCTTCTTATATAGGTCTTGGTGAGTTTTTGCTGTTTTTTCAGGAAAAAGTCTAAATATGTCTTAATAACTACAGATGTGCTTTCATACATATTGATATTAAAAGGAAAGCAACTTACGCTCTGAGGGTGCGAAAAAAAATGGAATGACTTAAGTTTCGGAATTGGAATGAAGTATTTCCCAGCGGAATGAACCCAACTTTGTTTAAGTGGGCTAGTTGAATGAAAAGGCTTCAAAATGTTCAAAACAAAAGTTATTGGTGGCTAGTGTTTGATGACATGAAGTGTCTCAATACACTGTTGTATAGACATTTGACTCTGAATTTGGAGGTTTGGGCATTTTTCATAGCCTATATAAATTTGTATTTTATTGCGTTGTTTCTCTTTTTTGCCTTCGAAACTTTTTGGCTATGGCGTCTTGTCGTTTGTGCAGATTCGTCTCTGTGTAAATAAGATTGTATTGTACTAATCGCGAAAAAGCAAATCTGGAATGTAGTAATATATGAATGAGTAAATGTGTTAGGTGTCCTCTCGAATTCCGCAGCATTTTCGGAGGAGATTGGAGGAAGAGAGGGTGGTTATCAAGGACGCGTGCAAGTTTCTACTCAACTTCATGATTCCCTCCTTCGTCAAGGATTGCATGCAGGACATATCCAAGTCAGTCTACTTCTCTACTCTACGGTTCTAATGACCATATCCTTGTGCTGCCTCCCCACTTTATTACAAAGCGAAGCTTTCTGTGACATTACGGTATTCACTTTTTTCCTACTTAAGTCGCAAACTAAAATTGCTCATTATTAGGTGGCTCCTTCGAATTTTTATATCTGATAACTTTTCCTCAATAGCAGCATATTTTTGTATCTGGTTTATTGGTGGCTACTTCGTGTTTGATAAAAAAAAACAGGTATTATGAAAATATATGGGATTTTTTTTTATTACACTAACGAATAGTGAGCGTAGTGTATTAATATGACTCTACTTTTTTTTCAAGCCAACTCGCAAATAAAATAGCTTTTTAATAATCACGATCTGTAGCTTCTCACAGCATCTGTTTTCTGCTTTATTTGTGGATTGTGTTCGCCGATCTGTAACCGACCGTAGCACATTTGGAAGAACGTGAGACTCCTAATCTACATGTCGGATGTTCAAAGACACCTAAAGTCAAGTTTTGTTCATATTTTGTGGCATTTTTTGCTGCATTACATTGGTAATTTTGTAGCATACATAGCTGCATCATTTGTTGCCATTGTTAGCTAACTTTCAAGAGACCAAAGCACATATGAAAAAATGTGAGAATCCAAAGCTCGAGGTCGCAGGCTCGAATCCGACATATCGCAAAATTTTTACTATTTCGAGGTTTTCAAGTAATGGGAGGAGTCCCAGTGTCATCTGCCTTCTTAAGGTGGGACCGCCTGAGGCAAAAAAATGCGAAGCGATCAGTCTAGTGTATTATTACGAGCCCCCTTTTTTTCTAACCAAACTCGCAAATAAAAGTGTTCATTAAAAGTGTTCACGTATTTGGAAATTTGACTGTAGCTTTCGAAATTCTATAGCATCTGTTCTGTGCTTTATTTGTTTCTAGTGTTTGTTGCATATTAAGATTCCGTGGCTGAGTGGTTAGCGTATTAGCCTCTTAATCTCTAGGTCACAGGTTCGAATCTCAGAGGTAGGCGATTATTTAATAATTTGAGGCTTATTTATAATTTTTTTTATTGCATTGTATAGAGCTGCTTTTTGTCGTGTTCTCCTGAGATTTCTTGAGATTTTTTCCCGAGGATAGATGTTTTGCCTTAGACTTTCGAAAGTTTCAGTGGTGCGAACTTCTGTCCAATTTTTTTGGATTTTTATTCCTTTTCTCGAAAACCATGATTAATCTGAGATTTAAATTTCAATCGAAAGAGAGTGTTCTGGGAATCTCCCCTGCTTACACTGCTACACCCTTTTTTGGTAAAGATGATATTGGTCCTAGAAAATGTCAAAATTCTTGAAGTTTTTTATGGAATTTTTTTATTTCTTCTGGAAAACTACTCAGCAAAACCTGAAAACCTGAGGTTTTGTGTTCATCAAATAAACAGATTTTATAAATATTTGCTGCACAACGTGTATCGTCCAAAGTTTTTGATAAAAAAAGTCATCGCCTTAAAAAAATTACTCTTGAAATTTTGCTCGTTTTTTAGAAACTCTTTCTTGAAATATGAGACCCTGCGAAATATGAGATAAAAGGTTTTTATCGGAAAAACTGAGTAGGATTTTTCTAATGCTTAAGTAGATACGCTCTAGTTTTTTAGACCGTTTTTCGGTGCATTCTATCGAAAATTACAACACCAAATCTGAGATGAAGGGATCAATCGAAAGAACAGGTGCTTGGAAATTTTTGTGCATACGGCTTTCTCTAAGATTTCAATGTGAAGCAAAGTTGAATTTAAGAAAATTTTATTCCTTCGAGCAAGAGTAATAAGGGACGTAAAAGCTCTCTTTTTGCTTCTCCACAGCAGAAAAACATAATTAAAAAAAATAACTCAAACTTGAAAAAAGATTTTGTTTTTTTTTTCGTGTCGTTTATTCGGCACAGTAGTTTTCGAACGAATAAAATTTTCTTAAATTCAAATGCCGAATAAATGACACGAAAAAAAAAACGAAATCTTTTTTCAATTTTGAGTAATTTTTTTTAATTCTGTTTTTCTGCTGTGGAGAAGCAAAAAGAGCTTAATCTCCTTTTACGTCCCTTATTACTCTTGCCATGAGCAACTGTCGCGTGTAATAATTCCATCGAATTACGTACTAGGTTTTCAGCTGAGTCTAGATTTTCAGACAAAGCTGACACATCAATTGGTCCTGTTTTACAAAAGCAAGCTTGTGAAAGGATAATTATTAGGTCAGTACTCTTTTTTTTACCAACGTTAGCTGCACCAACGTTAGTTCCTGATGTGATTTCAAAATTTGTTCATGCTCAATTTTGATTTTTCGCGGTTTGACTTGTGATTTCTTTTTAAGTTCAGTGCATTTCCATTGTTAAAAGGAAAGCAAAATCTTTATCGAACAGCAAAAATGTAAAGGTCACGAAAAATGTGATGGACTTCTAATTTCGAAAATGGAAATTAATTATCAGATATCCCAGTGAAATAAAGTTTTGCCTATTGATCTAGTTTTCGCAAATTGGATTAATTTTAACAAAAAAGTGTCTATCATAAATTGTTCTTGAAATTCAAAGAGCTTTAAGGCTATCTATTTTTTCTTCGAAATTCAAAAGTTCTTCAGGAAGATTTTTGAAAAAAAAACAAGTCAGTTTTTGTTTCAGTTTCATTGCGTTCATTACTCTTTTCGTGCGTGAGACTCAAACTTGCTAGGTCGCAGATTCGAATCCGACACGTAGCCGAGTTTTTGCTAATTTGAGGCCTATTTCTACTTTTCCTAGTTCACATGATAGAGCTAATTTTTGGTCGTGTTCTTGTTTTTGTACTGCTTCGCCTCTGTGTTAAAATGACGATTTGAGGTGAAGTTGCTCGAAAGTAATTAGGCTCAAAGTGTCTAGGAATTTAACACATAACACTTAAAATTTGATTTTTTTAAATGTTTTTTGTTAAATAAGATTTCTTTTTTTTTAGGATCAAGAGTATTAGAATCGGTTAATATACTCTTCCCCGTGAGCAACCTCATTCACAATACTCATTTCCGGGATGCCTCGGTCGAAAGATTGGAGCCATAGACATATTTTGAGAATGTCTGCATTTGAAATACCTATTCTATTCCAACAATGCGAGCTTTTTTTATCATACAAGTTCACATTTTTCCAATCTAACTCGGAAAAAAGTATTCATTTTGACCAACTAAATAGCACTTAGCCCACATGCGAGTACTTGAGAGTCTTAATCTCCAGGTTGGGGGATGGATTCTGGCTCATGGTGAAAGTTTAATTTTCAAAATTTAATTTTGCATTTTCTTTGCTTTTTCTAGTTTTTTCATTGTTTTTTGATTTCCGGATCATTTTTTGTGGGCTAGCTTGCCAAGCCATGTTTGTTATGAATCGCAAGTGGCGCGAAGAGTCGCTTCGCCTCTATCTGCAATCGTGTGATTACAAAAGTGTATGTACTTATTTTTTCAAATTGCTTCGCTTGATAGTTTCAGCTTATTAAGAATAATGAACGTAGTGAAGACTCTTATATTGGTATTACTGTTTTTTTTTGTTTTTTTTTTCAGGAAAAAGTCTTAAAATTTGATTCACTTAGGTATAATGGACTTTTTGAGTTCAATTGAAGTTCATCTGCTGAAAGTGACGTAAAAAGCACACTCCAAGTACGAACGTGGAAATGGCGCAAAAAAACATGAAAGATTTCTAGTTTCGAAAGTGGAATTTTCAAAATTTAATTTAGCGTTTTCTTTGCTTTTTAGAGCCAATTGCAGCTTCTAGTTTTTTCATTGTTTTTTGATTTCAGGATCATTTTTTGTGGGCTAGCTTGCCAAGCTATGTTTGTTATGAATCGCATGTGGCGCGAAGCGTCGCTTCGCCTCTATCTGCGATCTTGTGATTACAAAAGTGTATGTACTTGTTTTTTTCAAATTGCTTCGCGGGATAGTTTCAGCTTATTAAGAATAATGAACGTAGTGAAGACTCTTATATTGGTCTTACTGGTTTTTTTTTTGTTTTTTTTTCAGGAAAAAGTCTTAAAATTTTGTATGCACTTAGGTATAATGGACTTTTTGAGTTCAATTGAAATTCATCTGCTGAAAGTGACGTAAACAGCACACTCCAAATACGAACGTGGAAATGGCGCAAAAAACATAAAAGATTTCTAGTTCCGAAAGTGGAATTTAGTTTTAAGATTTCCCAGCGGAATAAAAACTTTACCTATTGATACAGTTTTCTCAAGTTGGGTGCATGTTAGTAAAAAAAGCACCAATCATAAATTGTTCTAGAAATTCAAAGAACTTAAAAGGCATCTATTTTTTCTTTGAATTTCGAAAGTTGAGCTTTTTTCGAGAAATTCATGTTTTTTATGTTTACTTTCGTTCATTACTTTTTCCAATCTTCGATTGGCTATGTTTCGGGTTAACAACTAGCTTATCAAACACTCCGAATCTGTTGACCATCTTTCTTTAGTATTTCATCAAGTTCTGGTATCAAAACTGTTAATTAGCTCTTTCAATCTCTTCCGGTTATAATGCAGGTAATTGTGTTCCAAGCATTTGTGCTGAATTTTAGTTTTGAGTTTTTTAGTGTTTTGATTTGAGATTATTGAAGCTTTTTTTGTGTTCATCTTCTTTTATTGCGTTATCTATCTGTAATAAAGTAATAATTGGCGTCTTGTCTAAAATTAGTTCCTAGAGTTTGGTCTAAAATTTTCCAAACTTATCTTAGATATAATTGTCTCCAGGTTATCTTCTATACGTTTTGGTGTTTTTTCAGGAAAAAGTATAAATTTGTTCCCGATAAAATTTGATTTTTTTTCGCGGTTTGAATTTTGATTTCGTTCTAAGTTCAGCTGTTTTCTTTTGTTAAAAGGAAGGCAAACTCCTCTATCAAATATCAAAAGTGGAACGGTCACGTGAGCGAAGGTTTCGAAATTGGAGTTTAATTCGCTGATTTCCAAGCGGAGTACATAAGATACCTATTGATACTGTTTTCTCAATTTTGGCTATTTTTATCAAAAAGTGCCGAGTCTAATTTGTTCTTGATTTTCAAAGATCATTTTAAATTTACTTAATGCCAGTATTACGGAGTAAACTTTTTACGATTTTCGCATTGTGAGTCCGTGTGGTTTTTTGTCATGTGGGCTTTCATGAATCTGGGGCTTTTTTTTATCTCAAGTGGGGCTTTTTTTATTTCAAGAGATGCGATGCTCCGTTTCTTCTCTGTGTTAAGTTTTCAGATTTTTAAATTCGTTTTTCTATTTATTTGGATTAAAAGGTTTTGGTTTATGTTTATTCGGCTCAGTAACGTTATATTGATGAGCAATAAAACTTTATTATGCGCGTGTGTTTTGAGTGGGGGCGATAAAAAGGGTTAGTGGGTTTTTTTTTGTTTGGCTGAACGGGTGTCAGTTTTCGGTCTAACAACTTGTTGAACAGAACCACTTGATATCTTGGTTCAAATTGAATTCAATTTTTTAAGCGTCTCCGGCAATCTAAGTCTGGAGCTATCTGATACGCCTAAGGCAGCAAAGGTCCTGGTTTCGAATCATGACCTGTTTTTTTTTTCAAACGGTAATTATTCCGTTTGAAAAAAAATTGTCGTCCTATTATTTGGCTGCTGATGTTGTTCAGCTTTGTTGGCACATCTTAGAATTGTTTGCTGTATGCAGTTTTCTTTGTTTTTATTTATTCCTGCAATTTGTAATCCTACAAACCTTGGTTTCGTATATTTTCTTTTTTAAACTTTTTTCCGCTTTAAAAAATTTTTTCGGCCGAACTGATTTCGGTTGATCTTTTATCGGCTTACTAAACTAATTTTGGGTCCTTTGAGGGAACCATCATTTGAATGCTTTCCTGTGGATCAGACGAAACGTTGAAAGTCTCGGAATAGAATTGATATCAAAGTTGTTCATGACAAATTTATTTTCGCTCGATAATTATTTTTGAGTTGTCGACGCTATCGAATGTGATTCTGGACGCGTTTTCCGCAAATAAACATCATTCCAGACAACATTTCGAAGTTTCAGTTTTGGTTTCTCCGAAATTGTTCCGTTTTCTTTGCACTTATTGGCTCTGCTTTCCTTTCTGTCTGCTAGCTTGCAATGCTATTTTTGTGGTACTTCTTCGCCTCTATGTGTTTAATTTTAAGCCGTAACAACTTTCAGTTTGTTCTCAATTGGCCTAGAGGTAACGCCGTTGCCTTTGCATCCTATGTTCTGGGTTTCGTGTCTCGGCCGTGAATTGGATGCAATTGAAAAAACAATATGATAAAAATTGAATTGTCTGACTTTCATTTTTCTGTTCAAATTTTGTCTACAAAGTTGTCTCATCATGGATCTTGCTTGTGCTGTAAGCTACCTTCATTGCAAATGCAAGTGTTGTTCACTCTAGTATCAGGGGAGATATTGAAAGATTTGTTTGAAAATTTTCATAAAATTATTTTTTTCGGCTCAACTGGTATCTGCTCAAAGGTTGTCGGGTTAGTTTCTACATTACTGATTTTGCTTAAGCTGTAAGCAAGTTTCATTTTAGTTGCACAGTGCAAGTGTTGTTTATTGTAGTTTCAGGTGGGATTTTTCATGTAATCATATTTTTTTCGCATCTACTCGTGTCTGCTGAAAGATTGTCGACTTGTGACTCTTTGTTAGTTTTGTTCCGTTGCTATTTTAATATTCAAATTTCTGGGAATTTTCCTGAAATGAATTTCTAACGAGACATATCGAAAAATTATAAATTTTGCTAGACCTTTTTTTTCAACTTTTTAAATTTTGTTTTGACTTTCTATGTTTTTGTTGCACCGCAAGTGTTTCGAAGCTCCGTTTCGCCTCTGTGTCACGTACTATCGTTCTTCAACCACCTGGTAAGACTCTTCGGATTCTAACTCCACGTTCAGTTGTCTTGGCTAATTGTTCAATACAAATCGAGACAAACATATGCAAACTTTGTAGATCTAAAAAGACATTCTTTCCGATTTTTTTTTAGCTTTGTGGTCTCTGTCTAATTATCTGTCGGCTAGTGTTGTTTGGCAAGTGGTGCGAGGTTTCGCTTAACCTCTATAATAATGTCTTAAGAATAAGCAAACTTTTTCAATTCCTTGAGAATCTCCTGTTAAAGATAAAATTGATAAGACATACGGCTAATTTTATCTTTATCTGCAAATTCTTGAACTGAAAAAAAATTATGTTTTTTATTTTTTTTATTTTTTGCTATTGCCTAAAATGGTTTTCATTTTGTGTTAATAGTTTTTTTTGTGTATCGCAAGTGATTCGCTTAAGTGCAGGTAGTGTTCCTTAAAAGTTTGTGTGCAACAGAAAGATTGTCAATGAAGAAACGTGAGAAATGAGTTGTTTCAGTGTGCCGGTGGACTCAATGCAGCTGACAGACGCTTTACACTCGCGTGGCATTAATATGCGCTATCTTTCGCACATAGTGACTGTATGTGAGACGCAGAAGGAGAAACACGACTCCCAAATGCCCAACGAGGATTCCATCATTGCCAGTCTGGACCTGCTGCAGAGAGTGGTAGCCATGGAGCTGTTGTGCAGAAGCGCTAAGCACGTGTTCAAGCGTTACATGCAGAGCGTGCAATCGCACTTTCTCTCGGACGGAGTGGCGCTCTTTTTGAATTGTCTAGTGGGAGCCTACAAGGAGCCCAAGCTGCTAGTGCTGGCCGAGGAGGAGGAATATTCTAGAATCCTGTTCAAATCTAACCATCAGACCACAAACAACAACACACTCTTCGGACAACAGCAGAACAAAAAAAGTAACACCGATAGCTCTACTGAAGCAAATCACATTCTTTGTCCTAAAACAATGTAAACCCATTAGACAATAGTTTTTTTTCTAAATAAGCGAGATTGTATGAGTCTTAGTCCTCATTTGGTGGAACTTTTGCTATAACCACAATCTGTACCACTGGAAATTGCATAGCATCTGTTCTCTGCTTTTTTGGTGGCTAGTGTTTGCTGTTTGTCAAGCGTTGTTGGGTCGTGAGCTGCCTAAGCTACTTGTCGGAGGTTCAACGCCGCACTTAGCACTATTTTTATTTTGGGTTATTTTTGCTGCATACCTTTAGATTTATTAGCATTTATAGATAGCTGCGTCATTGGTGGCTACTTTTAGCTACTATAATAGCTTTGTAATTTTTCTATAGCACTTACGAGATCAAGTGTCTTGTAATCGTGAACCAGATTTTTTTTCCAATTAAGAACTTGAGGTAACGCGGTTGCCTTCGCACCCTAAGGTCTTGGGTGTGTGTCCAGTCAGACTTCGTTCTTTCTCAGCATGTATGAAGCAGTTTTTTTTTCTTGTAAAAATGAATTGTCAGTGTCGTTTGTCTGCTTATTTTTGTCGAAGTGGTGTCCAAAGCATGGATTTTTTTTCCGGATTTGAATAATATTTGACAGTATTTCTGTTATTTTGACATTATAACAGTTCGATTTTTAAATGAAATTTTTTTAAATTTAAATTGGTTTCGGTTTATAATGTATCGGCTAAGTCAATTTATATTGGGTCTTTAGAAAGGCAGAAATTTGTTATCTCTTTAAATGTAAACCTGTAGGGTTTTGAAACTCAATCGGTTTCTTTTATGACAACATGTTTTTATGGTCTAATAGGCTCAATGGGCGTCTACCCGTGTATTGACTAATTTACCGCTCGGTAAATGCTAAAGCTTATTTCGTTTGCGAGAGCAAGTGACTTGTAATCGGGAACTAGACTTTTTCCCATGCTCAGTTCTGCTAACTTGCTGTTAATCTGACATGCTAATTTTTTTTGAAAATTTAAACTGTAAGTTCTCTTATTTTTTTGAGGTAGTAATTAAAACTATCAAATATGTTGAATATATTGATTTTTTTCGGATTAACGCTTTCGTCCTAATTTCTGTCGGCTGATTTTCCGTTTTTTATGGGCAATTTATTTTATCTGGTACGGTTATCTAGCAATTTTTTACTCAAAGCTTGGGTTTTTAATTTTTGATGCAGACGGTTTTTACTAAGTGAAAGTTGTTCAATTGTTTGTAAATTTACCAACTTTGATTTTTAATACATTTTTTGTTTCGCTTAAACAGGTTCGGTTTATGTTAAATCGGCTGAGCCAGCTTATGTTACATGGTTTTATGAACTAGACTTCAATGCTTTTGCGCTTTTCATGAGAAAAGGGTTTTTAAGATTTTGAGATAAAAAAAATTTTTGCACTTCATCCGAGACAAAGGTATAATTTTTTAAATATAGTTTTCAACTTTTTTCAAGTAATCGTTTCAGCTTAATGTTTTAAAAACTGACTTCCTTCTTTTTTTCTAATCATTATCTTGTAATGCATTGTTTTATTTGTATCCGAAGTTTTGCTCCACCTTTGTGTTTAATGATGGTGTTGGCGGTTCTGAACAGCGTTTCTGAGTTAGACTTCTCGTTTTTCCACAACCATTTTTCATGCTTTTTTGTCGACTTATTTTTTGTCTCAGTTTTTATTCGCTTGCTTTCAATGCTATACTTGCGTTGTATCCCAAATGATGTAGAGGTGTGCTTTCCCTTTGCGTAAATTAAGTTAATGGCTTGTGTTGAGCATAAGGAGTGAATTGATAGAGAGTCGATGAACATAGTGAAGACTCTTATAATGGCGGTGATGATTGTTTTTTTTTTCATGAAAGTTTTGCTTTTTATTTTTTTTTTCAAAGGAAGGCAAACTCGAACAAAAAAAGTGTAAGGGTCACAAAAACGTGATCGACTTCGAGTTTCGAAAGTGAATTGTAATATCCAGATTTCCCAGCGAAGTAAAAAATTACCTATTGACTCAGTTTTCTCAAATTCGCTCAACTTCATCAAAAAGTTCAACCATAAATTGTTCATGATAATCAAAGAGCTGTAAGGCCCCATATTTTTTCTTTGAAATTCGACGCATACGTTTTCAAAAATAAACAAGTTAGTTTTTTTCATGTTAACCTGAGTTAATTGACTCTTTTCCAGCTGTCTTTGGCTACAATTTTATTTTATACATTGTCATTTTTTGTATCATTTTTTTGATAAAAGGAGTCCTGGACGTAGTGAATATTCTTATATAGGTCTTGGTGATTTTTTTTAATGATTTTTTTAGGAAAAAGGCTTAAAATTTGTCCACGCTTAATTTGAGCTTTTCGCTGTTGACTTCTGATTTCTTTTGAAGTTCACTGCATTTTCTTTGGTAAAAGGAAGGCAAACTACCCTATCTAACAGCAAAAATGTAAAAGTGACGAAAACTTGATCGACTTCTAATGAAAATAGATTTTAGTTATCAGGTTTCCCAGCGAAATAAAAAGTTGACATATTGATTCAATTTTCTGAAACTGGATTGTTTTAACGATACTGTGTCAGAACAAATATTCAGAAATTCAAAGAGCTATAAAGCCATCTTTTGTTTTCTTCTGATTCATTCAAAAAAACGAGTCAGTCTTTTTACTGTTTTTTTTTTTTCAATATTATTCTGTGTTGTTTGGGGCTTCTTAAGTTTTTTTATAAGGGCTACCTATCTAATTCTGATTTTCAAAAGTTTGGACGTTTTTTAAGGTCCAAACTGTTTTTTTGAGCGCTTCAAAGTTACTATTTTTTGCGTCAAAAAACAAAGTCGACTATTTTCGACGATTATGAAGTTTATTATGTCTTTGCTGCCAGATAGTTACTTTTTGCATCAATAGGGCAACTGAAAGTTTTCCAACTGTCTGGCATCAACTGCTTGGACATAAACGCTTCTTAATCTTGCTATGTCCTAGCCGTTAATGCCAGACAATTGAAAAACTTGGAGTAGCCCTGCTCATGCAAAAACTAACTATCTTGCAGCAAAGACATAAAGAATTTAATAATCTTCGAAATTAGTCAACTATGTTTTTCCACCCCAAAATAGTTACTTTGTCATTTCTCAATCCGTTGATTGTACTCAATATAAAGACCGAGCCAAATTCTTAGGCTTATCAAAAATTTTATAAATCTATTGTTGTTTGGGAAAAAACGAAAGACACCGCAGGATGATCATGTTAGAGCACAAATAAGTGATATGCAAGTTTTATTGTAAAGTTTATACTCCAAAGAGGTTTCAATATCTAGCTATATCTGTGTTGTTGTTTTTTTGTTTCAATTTTTCTTTTTCGATTTTTCGGCAGTAACTTTAAGCTTATTTTTGCGTTTGCTATCTTTTCATTGATTTTATCTGGGTGCATTCCATTATCTGCGTACATTGGTATCTGCGTACATTCCAATCATAAATCCATTGTTGCTTAGAAAAACTCGAAAGATACCGCAGGATGATCATGTTAGAGCACAAATAAGTGATATGCAAGTTTTATTGTAAAGTTTATACTCCAAAGAGGTTTCAATATCTAGCTATATCTGTGTTGTTTTTTTTTAGTTTCAGTTTTTCTTTTTCGATTTTTCGGCAGAAACTTTCAGCTTATTTTTGCGTTTGCTATCTTTTCTTTGATTTTATCTGGGTGCATTACATTATCTGCGTACATTGGTATCTGCGTACATTCCAATCATAAATCAATTGTTGCTTAGGAAAACTCCAAAGATACCGCAGGATGATCATGTTAGAGCTCAAATAAACGATATGCAAGTTTTATTGTAAAGTTTATACTCCAAAGAGGTTTCAATATCGAGCTATATCTGTGTTGTTTTTTTACTTTCAATTTTTCTTCTTCGATATTTCGGCAGAAACTTTAAGCTTATTTTTGCGTTTGCCATCTTTTCTTTGATTTCATCTGGGTGCATTCCATTATCTGCATACATTGGTATCTGCGTACATTCCAATCATAAATCCATTGTTACTTAGGAAAACTCGGAAGATACCGCAGGATGATCATGTTAGAGCACAAATAAGCGATATGCAAGTTTTATTGTAAAGTTTATACTCCAAAGAGGTTTCAATATCTAGCTATATCTGTGTTGTTTTTTTATAGTTTCAATTTTTCTTTTTCGATTTTTCGGCAGAAACTTTAAGCTTATTTTTGCGTTTGCTATCTTTTCTTTGATTTTATCTGGGTGCATTCCATTATCTGCGTACATTGGTATCTGCGTACATTCCAATCATAAATCCATTGTTGCTTAGGAAAACTCCAAAGATACCGCAGGATGATCATGTTAGAGCACAAATAAGAGATATGCAAGTTTTATTGTAAAGTTTATACTCCAAAGAGGTTTCAATATCGAGCTATATCTGTGTTGTTTTTTTTTTAGTTTCAATTTTTCTTTTTCGATTTTTCGGCAGAAACTTTAAGCTTATTTTTGCGTTTGCTATCTTTTGTTTGATTTTATCTGGGTGCATTCCATTATCTGCGTCCATTGGTATCTGCGTACATTCCAATCATAAATCCATTGTTGCTTAGGAAAACTCGAAAGATACCGCAGGATGATCATGTTAGAGCACAAATAAGTAATATGCAAGTTTTATTGTAAAGTTTATACTCCAAAGAGTTTTCAATATCTAGCTATATCTGTGTTGTTTTTTTTTTAGTTTCAGTTTTTCTTTTTCGATTTTTCGGCAGAAACTTTCAGCTTATTTTTGCTTTTGCTATCTTTTCTTTGATTTTATCTGGGTGCATTCCATTATCTGCGTACATTGGTATCTGCGTACATTCCACTCATAAATCCATTGTTGCTTAGGAAAACTCCAAAGATACCGCAGGATGATCATGTTAGAGCTCAAATAAGTGATATGCAAGTTTTATTGTAAAGTTTATACTCCAAAGAGGTTTCAATATCTAGCTATATCTGTGTTGTTTTTTTTTAGTTTCAGTTTTTCTTTTTCGATTTTTCGGCAGAAACTTTAAGCTTATTTTTGCGTTTGCTATCTTTTCTTTGATTTTATCTGGGTGCATTCCATTATCTGCGTACATTGGTATCTGCGTACATTCCAATCATAAATCCATTGTTGCTTAGGAAAACTCCAAAGATACCGCAGGATGATCATGTTAGAGCACAAATAAGCGATATGCAAGTTTTATTGTAAAGTTTATACTCCAAAGAGGTTTCAATATCGAGCTATATCTGTGTTGTTTTTTTTTAAGTTTCAATTTTTCTTTTTCGATTTTTCGGCAGAAACTTTAAGCTTATTTTTGCGTTTGCTATCTTTTCTTTGATTTTATCTGGGTGCATTCCATTATCTGCGTCCATTGGTATCTGCGTACATTCCAATCATAAATCCATTGTTGCTTAGGAAAACTCGAAAGATACCGCAGGATGATCATGTTAGAGCACAAATAAGTGATATGCAAGTTTTATTGTAAAGTTTATACTCCAAAGAGTTTTCAATATCTAGCTATATCTGTGTTGTTTTTTTTTTAGTTTCAGTTTTTCTTTTTCGATTTTTCGGCAGAAACTTTCAGCTTATTTTTGCTTTTGCTATCTTTTCTTTGATTTTATCTGGGTGCATTCCATTATCTGCGTACATTGGTATCTGCGTACATTCCAATTATAAATCCATTGTTGCTTAGGAAAACTCGAAAGATACCGCAGGATGATCATGTTAGAGCACAAATAAGTGATATGCAAGTTTTATTGTGAAGTTTATACTCCAAAGAGTTTTCAATATCTAGCTATATCTGTGTTGTTTTTTTTTAGTTTCAGTTTTTCTTTTTCGATTTTTCGGCAGAAACTTTCAGCTTATTTTTGCTTTTGCTATCTTTTCTTTGATTTTATCTGGGTGCATTCCATTATCTGCGTACATTGGTATCTGCGTACATTCCAATCATAAATCCATTGTTGCTTAGGAAAACTCCAAAGATACCGCAGGATGATCATGTTAGAGCTCAAATAAGCGATATGCAAGTTTTATTTTAAAGTTTATACTCCAAAGAGGTTTCAATATCGAGCTATATCTGTGTTGTTTTTTTTACTTTCAATTTTTCTTTTTCGATATTTCGGCAGAAACTTTAAGCTTATTTTTGCGTTTGCCATCTTTTCTTTGATTTCATCTGGGTGCATTCCATTATCTGCATACATTGGTATCTGCGTACATTCCAATCATAAATCCATTGTTACTATGAAAACTCGGAAGATACCGCAGGATGATCATGTTAGAGCACAAATAAGCGATATGCAAGTTTTATTGTAAAGTTTATACTCCAAAGAGGTTTCAATATCTAGCTATATCTGTGTTGTTTTTTTTTATAGTTTCAATTTTTCTTTTTCGATTTTTCGGCAGAAACTTTAAGCTTATTTTTGCGTTTGCTATCTTTTCTTTGATTTTATCTGGGTGCATTCCATTATCTGCGTACATTGGTATCTGCGTACATTCCAATCATAAATCCATTGTTGCTTAAGAAAACTCCAAAGATACCGCAGGATGATCATGTTAGAGCACAAATAAGCGATATGCAAGTTTTATTGTAAAGTTTATACTCCAAAGAGGTTTCAATATCGAGCTATATCTGTGTTGTTTTTTTTTTTAGTTTCAATTTTTCTTTTTCGATTTTTCGGCAGAAACTTTAAGCTTATTTTTGCGTTTGCTATCTTTTCTTTGATTTTATCTGGGTGCATTCCATTATCTGCGTACATTGGTATCTGCGTACATTCCAATTATAAATCCATTGTTGCTTAGTAAAACTCGAAAGATGCCGCAGGATGATCATGTTAGAACACAAATAAACGATATGCAAGTTTTATTGTAAAGTTTATTCTCTAAAGAGGTTGCAATATCTAGCTATATCCGTGTTTTTTTTCAGTTTCAATTTTTCTTTATCGACTTTTCGGCTGAAACTTTAAGCTTAATTTTGCGTTTGCAATCTTTTCGTTGATTTTATCTGCCTACAATCTATAGGTTATTCAGTAGTGGTTTTTCCGTTTTTGATTCATTTTTTAATTTTTTTGAATCCGGTTTTTTGAAAACTGTTTTCCTGTGTTTTTATCTTTGTTTCGCAAATAATATGAAGCTCCTGATTTTTTTTCAGACTGAATTTTTTTTTAATTAGTTTCTACTCTTAGTGTTAGGAAAGCTGAAAACTAAACGTCAACAACTAGTTTCTCTAGATAGAAGCGATGTATTTCATGTTTCAATTTACCTAGGAGCTTTTTGTGTTACTCGTTTGATTTACTTTCCACATTAGACAGAAAAGCACCGAATTTTTTTTCAAAACGGAAAAAAATGGACTATCAAGTTTAAGGGTCGATCGATCACCACTGAAGTTGGTAATATGGTAATACGATCGATATTTGTGATACTTCATTTTGCTTGAGATAGAAAATGTGTTCAAACACGCCTAAATCCAACTTTCTTTCCTACTTTCAGTGGTCTGAACAATTACAACCTCTTGGTTTGGTGTACATCGTTTTACATTCATTTTAATGCACTAAATTTCTTTAATTGCTTGAAAATTTTTGACTAAGATTGCTACATTGCTGGAAATTTAATCTGCTTAAACTTAAACTACTCTATGGCTTGATTTGCTTGCTTGAAATTTTTCTTGATTTGCTTTTTTTGATGCTTTACTTTCGATTACTTCCTTTCCACTTTTGAATCTTGAATGTTTTTATCATTTTGCAATTAGTTGCATGTTTTTCTTTCTATGTTTTTCTCATTTTAACTGAATTTGCTTGCTTGAAATTTTGTTCCGACTATTGACAGGAACTTGGTATTCGGATGCGTTTTAGTTTGTTTCCTCTTGGTTTTCACGCAACATCAGGTACCATAAATAATCATGATAATCATGGGAATGGATCGAGTGATACATCATATTAAAGCCCTATCAAGTGCGATTTGAACGAAATTTAAAAATTGCAAAAAATTTTTCCATTGTCTCGAAAAACAGGTTTGAATTTTTTTTTTTGGTTTTTCGTCTAATTTCAAGCGGTTAAAGTGAGCGAGCAGGCTTGTAATAGTCTTATACGAGTTAGTTTCAAAATTTTAAAACTAACTATTACTTGATTTTACTCCAATTCTTTGTAACTAATTTCACTTATTTTGAAATTTTATATTGTTTTAATGTAAAAACTGTTAACAAATGTCCCTAATTTTTTTTGCTATCAGTTTTTCTGTCTTTCGTTTAGGTTCTCTCATCACACCTATAACAAAAGACGACACAATTTTAAAAAAGAAAAAACCTTTTTTTTGTATTTTTCGAAAAAGTTTGGTCGAAACATTCTGTGCTACTTGCACAGCAATCGGCTATCCTTGTTCTTTAGCTTGTGATTAGATTCAAGATTTTCTTTTGATTTTTAAGATTTGATTTTTGAAGACTTACATAGGTCATGACGGCTGTTTTTTTTCGGGAAATTGGTTCACGTTCAATTGTGATTTTTCGCGGTGTGACACTGAATTTCTTTCTAAATTCAGTTCATGTTGAAAGGAAATCAAACTCTAGAACTGAACATCAAAAATGTAAAGGAAGTTTTTACTTATCAGATGTTTCTAGCGGAATAAAAAAACTTACCTATTGATCTAGTTTTTTCAAAATGTGTTAGTTTTATCAAAACAAATGTCAATCATAAATTGGTTTTGATCTTCAGACAGCTGTAGATCAAAAATTGAGTCAATGTATTATTTTTTTGCTCTCATTGACTTTTTCCAACTGTCTGTTGGCTATCTTTTTATTTACTAGTCAAATTTATTTGAATTTTTTAAATTTGTTTTTGCAGTGTGTTCCCAGTGTTCGGTAATTTTTGTCATTGGGCTGGCCTGAAAACTCAGCTTTTCAAGAGTAATATAATATCAGATGAAAAATTTCATTTTTCATCACTTGAATTGCTCGCTGAAACTTTTTGTATTGTTTACGAAACATTTCCAGCTTTCAAAATCAATTGAAAATGTTCAAAACTCGATTGCTCGAATTGTTTGGTTGATAAAACGCTAATTTTCCAAACCATCAAGTTCAACTTTAATCTATTATATATCTAAGTGCGGGCTGCTTCACTATCTCACCATAATGAAGTTTTTTCAACGTATTGTTTTAGCATATTAAACAATAATTTTTCTGGTTTTTACAACTTGCTTAACCCGGAAGCCCTATCGCACGCTATTGAACTATTGTGTAGGCTTGTCAGAAGTTAGCGGGAAAAAATGTAATAGCATGAATTCTGATTATTAAATTTGTCGAACATTTGGCAGTTTGAAGCAAATACTCTCTTTGTGTAGACAAGAAGAAGAAATCAAGTCAGCGACACGTGAGTGGGGCTGCTTCTTCCTCGTCATTGCTCCCTTCTCCGCTGCAGGAACATGTCCATGCTCCTCCCCTCTACTCCTCTGCTGTGGGGGGCATGACTGGTATTGGGTCGTGGATGCACTTGTCCCCCACTCAGCTGTGGAGACAGATCAAGACAGATTTGAAGGACTACTTTTACTTCCAACTCAGGGGGTGAGTGTTTAGTAAACACAGAAAAGATATGTTGGTTGAATACGTGAGCGAGAAATGAGAAATTAAAACGAAAGGGAGATAGAGTGAGAGGAAGAGGCAGAGGGGAGGAGGAGGGAAAATACTTTATTACATTCAAAACAGCGTTGTTTTCAAATTAGTTGTTTTCTAGAGAGACGAATCAATATGTGATTAAGAATGAGGTAATTTAATGAACCCGCAATTATGCCTTTGTTAATGAACCCGCAATTTAACTACAGCAACAAGTATATCCATCAATTTTCAACGAAAATTGTGCATTCAATAACGAATTTAAATGCAAGTAGTTTGGCGAGCGCAAATGTATCAGCTTTTACTTTCCCACATTCGAATATTTGCTCACGAGTCATTTTTGTGTGATAAAAGAATGGGTTTTACACGAGCTGACCCCTGTACTCTACATGGCTCCTTTTTTCAACATAAGCCGCGAATATGAATGCTACTTTTGCTGGCACTTTTTAGCAAGAGGCTGAATTGGCTATTTAATAATGCGTTTTAATAATATGCATTTGATTACTATTAAGTCAACATAATTGATGTTTTTTTTAAATGAAATGAAGAAAGCTATTTGATGAATTGATGAAAGCCGTTTCTTTCATACAACAGTACAATTAAGCACGTAGCATTGAGATAGGCACTTAGCATAGTGGTGAGGCGTATACTTTGTGATAGTCAAATCGTGTAATCGATTCACTGCCTGTTTATAGTGTGAGATCGAGCTATCACTTGACCTCTAGATTCAGGTTTACCTCAGCCTGACTGATTTCGGTTGCACTAGCGGTACGTACAAATTCGGAAATGCGGAAAATTCTAGGCGCAAAAAAAACGACCTGAAGTCGCACAAAAAGATCTTCGCTCAACAAAATAACTCAGTTTGGTATGTAGGTAAATAAGAGAAACGTGCTATGCTTAGGCAGGTTGGATAGCCTTTTATAGATCCACTGTGAATCGCAGAAGTACAATTTTTATAATATAAACTCCTTTTCAGAAATTTTCCAACTTCGTAATTTTCGAGAAAGTTTTGAAATGCAGATTATGTACACAACTTGGCTTCTTACTTTCCATTTTATCACATGCAAAGTTAGTGTGGTTGGCTTTAGTTTTTTACGCTCCAAAATTTTATCTGCTAATTTTTAGTGTTTTTGTTTCAGGAACAGTCTTCAAGTTTAATCAAACTCAATTTTGACTATTTTGCGGTTTGATTTTTGATTTCCTTTTAAATTCACTTCATTTCCTTTGTTAAAAGGAAGGCAAACTCCATTATCGAACAGCAAAAAATAAAGGTCACGAAAAACGTGATCGATTTCTAGTTTTGAAAGTTCATTTGGTTTTCAGATTTTCCAGCGCAATAAAAAGTTTGTTCCAGTTTTTCTTCAAGTTGGTTAAAATTGGGTGTTGTCAAATAATCCGACTTTTCAAATAATGAAAAAAAACTTTTAACTTATAATCGTATAAGCCGAAGATCTTATAACGTATAATCGTATATTTTTATTTTCGTATAAAAACTTATAATGGTACAATTTGAGATCGAAATCCTTACTCAATTATAGCGAATTTTTCTGCAGAAGCAGCTACTACTTAAGTTTTTGTAAGAGAAAGGTTATGTTTGTAGGAAAATTCCAAAATCTTAGAAATTATCACTTTTATGTGGAGAAAGAACAGGTTATGGACAAAGTCCAGTTTTCAGTATTTGGCATTTCGTCCCGTATCAGTTTAACATTCAATTTTTGACTTTTCTCGAAAATTAATCTCCGAGAGAAAAACAAATCTGAGATTTTGGATTTAATCGAAACTGCAGATTGATTGATTGCCTTCTGCATAAGCGTCTACACCCTCTATTATCACACAGAAAGCTTTGATTCTCGGAAATGTCAAATTTTTGATAAGTTGACCGTTTTTTGTACTTTTCTCGCTAACTATCCTGCCAAATCTGATATCATATTTTAATCGAAACAACAGGTTGCTGAAAGCCTACCTTTATAGCTGGCTGTGCCCACTTTGTTTCAGAATTTTTGAAACGTTGACAATTTTTTGGAACCTTTTTGACTTCACGCGAAAAATACCGTGACAGTTTTCAGGTCGTGTTCAATCGAGAAAACCGGTTTTGGAAATATATTCTCTGCTTAAGCAGCCACAACCTGCCTTGCGTAGAATAAAGTTATGGATATTGGAAAGTCTTTTTACCGTTATTTTTTTTTAGAACTTTGACCGTTTTTTGGAAGTTTTTTTATTATTCTTAAAATCAAATCTGAGATGAAAAGTTTAAATGAGGAACCGGTTGCGATAGTTGTTCCTACAGAAACGGCGACTTCTTAGTTTTCCGTAAGAGAAACGTGAACTTCTTGGGAAAATTGATTATCTCAAGATTTTTTACTCTAAGATTTTGGGCAAAGTCCTATTTTTGAAATCACATTTTTTGTGCCGCATTAGTATAGAAAATTCATTCAATATCAAACGCATACTTCCAGCTTTAGCTGCGCCTGTAGTTTTTTTTTAATCCAGACATATGAGAATTTTGGTTGACCTAGTTTTTTTCATTATTTGTTTCTTCTATGCTTGCGTTGTATCGCAAGTGTTACGAAGCTCCGCTTTGCCTCTTTGTGTAAAATTGTAGAATTTTGGTTTGATTTTTGATGATGGTTTTTCGGCTTCATGGTTGTCTGTCGAATTAAGTTTTCGTCAGTTTAGTTTCGTAACTGTGCATACCACATTAGCACCCGTGGATCCTATGTTCACAGTGGTAACAATCTTGCTTGAGATGGCAAAGGCCTGGAGTTCCATGCAAAGATGACAAAGGCCTGAAGTTTTTACGAGTTGAAAATTTTTTTTCTTTATCAGACAATCGTCTTTCTACTTAATTTTTTTGCTCTAGTTTCCATAGAACGGACGGATTTTTGGAGCAGTTCGGGTTTTCGAAAGCTTTTTTGCGAATTTTAGCATTTTTTTATCTAAACATGAGCCCTCATTTATTATTGGTTTTCAAGGTATGGCGTTTTTTATGATGCAAAAGTCTCAATCGAAAAAGCTAATAAATCTCCCGAAATTACCAACCCAATGACGGGGACTTATCAGGTTTAACTCGGCATGCTCGCCTCAAGTCTGAAATTCTCAACTCTATAGTACGGCGTTGTCAAGGTAGAGTTATTCTCAGGAGGCTTATATCTGGCCTTCAAATATGACTGCTCGGCGCCTGAGATATAGTTTTTGAGATATGGTTTTTTCTTAATTTTCAAAACTTTCGAAAATTTAAGTGAAAAAACATAATTCTCAAAATTTATAATTTCGGTCGTTTGTTGGGCTGATATCAGGGTACTGTCAGTAGTTGCAGATATGACCTACATGCATATGATTTCTCAGTCTCTTTAAGTGTTCTCGATATTTCCAAAGTTTCTAAAGATGTTTCTTTGGCGGGGTCTGTTAAGTTACTCTCCGGGGTTGCAGTCCTCCAAAATTGACTGCTCAGATCATGTCAGTCGTCTGGGATCCAACCAGCCATCCATCAATCCGATTCGTTTGGCCATTAATTCTTACATCCATCGATCTTTCCAACAAGATATTCATCTATCCATCTAGACATTAATCCATCTAGCTATCCTTTCATCTAGCCTTCCATCCATTAAGCAATCCAACTGATCCATCTAGTCATCCATCGATATTGTCTTTCATACATCGATCCATCCAACTAGTCATCCGACAACCAGCCATCAAGCTAATTATTCATAAATCAGCTCATTCATTTAGCCATCCATGCATCCAAAAAGCCAGCCATCCATCCATTCAAGTCATTAAATAGTCAAATGATCCATCCATTTATTGATTCTTCTATCAATTCAAATAGCCATTTTTCCATTCATCAAGCCATTCATCTATCCAACTAGTCATCCATCCATCCAACCAGTCATTTTATTCAATCATCCATTCATTCGTTAAGTTAACCAGCCAACGATCTATCAAGCCTCTTATTCATCAAGCCATCCATCCCTCAATTTAGCCATCCATCCATCGATCAATCCAGCTCTCAATCCATCCAATCCATTCAACGAACAAGCCATCCATCAAATTATTAATATATAATGCCATCCATCTATCCATCACGTCATTCAACCAGCTGTCCACTCATCAAGCAATCCATTCAGTCAGATAACTAACAAGTCCATCCATCTGGCCATCCTTGCTAACAAGTCAATCATCCAGTCGTCGGCATATCAAGCTATCCAACTAACTATCCATCTATCCATCAATCCTTTCAGCCCTGCATCAATCCCGCCATCTAAGCATCACCCATTCATTTATACATTTAACCAGGCCTTCATATCATTAAGTCATCTATCTTTTCATCTAGCCATCCAGCCAATGGTATATCTAGACATCCAACCAACCAATCATCTATGTAACCAGTCATCCATCCACCCAAGCAGTCATCCATAAATTCAGCATTCAAGCCATCCATTACTTGAATCAGCCATCCATCCAACCAGTCATTTGGCCATCCATTTGTTCATCTATCCAAGCACCCATGCATTCATTGATCCCTCCGCTCGTCTCGATACTCATATGCATCCATTCAACGGGCCGTCAACTAAACCACCATCAATCTAGCCATCGATTGATCCGTCCAACAAACCATCCAACAGTCTAGCCATATAACTATTCATAGCTCATTCATCTGCCACCCATTAATCTGGCCGTCCATTCATCCATTCTGCCTTCCATGCAACCAGCTATCTATCTACCATTCTAGCCCTCCGCCCAGCCTGCCATCTATCTGTTCATCCAGCGATCCACCCATCTAAGGCAGCCATCTGCAATTGGGCAATCCATCCGGCATCCCACCAGTCATCTATCATCGATCCAGTCGTTCCTCCATCTCGCTATCCGCCATACAGTCGGCCGTCCATCTAAATTTTGAGTGACCCATCTCTCCAACCATCAATCGATCTAAACACATCCATCTAACCATTTAACCAACCAATCAACCCGGCATCTGGTTAATTCAGCCATGCTCTCATCAACACAGGCATCTATCAAAACCGTTATCCATCATGCCACCCATACACCCATCCAGTCAATCCTTCGATCCATCCATCATTCAAGCCATCCATCCGTCCACCCAACCAGCCGTCTAGCCATCCATCTAAACTGTCATCCATGCTTCCATCCATATCAGCTATCCATCCAGCCATCTGTACAAACAGCTAACCAGACATACATCCAAACTCTTTTTCTGTTAAAGATAAACGTTGCCATTTTTCAGGCGCAGATTTAGCTGCAGTGGGCCTGCTAGTTTTCCTTGCATTTCGAAGGTGCATATTTTAACAATTTTTCCCCGTTTTCCATCCTTGGGTTTATTGACACTTTCCTAGACTACTTGTTGGCTTTTTTCTTATTTAAATTCCTTTTGATTCATTGCTCGAACAGTGTAGTTATTTTTCAGTGCCAATATTTTTTCTCGGAATTTTTTTTTATTCGAAAAAATTTTCATTGTTCCGATTTGATGAAGCCAGAGCTTTTAATTTTTTGTCGTTTTTTGTTTTGATAGTCGGCAGGCGCGGATCTGTGGTTTTATTGAGGTGAAGGCAATTTTTTCAAATAAATAGGTCGACCAAATTGAGTCCCTTTTTTGACTAAGTTTTTACGCCAATACTGTTTTAGTCTCTTTTTAGCAGGTGCCGTTTTGAAATTTACCATGAATACGTTTTTTTGAAATACGCAAATATTGTTTTAGGCTCTTTTTAGTAGGAGCCTTTTTGATGATATATGGGTGGCTTATGAAATTTTTTGGGTCAGTCAGCCAAAATGGATGTCTTAAAATAGTACCTTGTTGGTGGTCATGGGGACAATCCTCGAGGAAGGCGTATCTCCACCTTTGAATCCGCCAATGGATGTAGAAAAGCAGTGAATGGAGCCTTGTCTTGAAATTAGTTCAGCAATCAAATTCTTTGAAATCGTGATTTAATCTGGGTAAAAAAGTGTGAAAAAAAACTATTAGTGCCGTTTTTCATAAATGCTTCTTTTGCCTTGTTTTTGTGGTTAGCGCTAGTCAAATGAAGTTTTATGAATAATGAAAAATGTGTTACAGAATGGCGTGGTTTTGCCTACTCTTGAAGTTCCTCGCAGATTTGTACAATCAATTTTTTCGCCTGAAAACTGGCCCCGCTTTTCCCTGTGTATACACGTTTGAATTGCATGTGAATTATTGGAATGTTTTCGTGTTGTAGTGATTGTATTGAGGAGGTGTGTGGGCAGTATGGTGTGCTGCAGTGTTCCCTGTTGCGCACCCTCTGCTCCAAAGTGGGAGTGCAGCTGAAGCTGAGGAACTACGACTTCCTCTCAACAATTTCGCCCACTTTCCGTTCCTCAGATATACTCAATCTGTTTCCCATTGTCAAACATGTGCTGCCCAAAGCCAACGAAGGCTTGAAGCTCCTCAACAAGGGACAACACTGCATACAACAAGGTACGGTCACCTGTAAATACTGCTTAGGATTACACTTAAGCTCTAGAATTACACAAAATTCTACACCAAAATGTATATTTGCTAGGAAACTAGGCTTCCGAGAATCTTGTCTTGTAACCGAGGAAGCTAGCTTTTATGCGTTCTGCTGCCAATTTAGTGTAATGATGAAGCACCCTGCATAAGTTTTTAAAGATCCGGCCTCGATTATTGCCAAGGAATATACTTTTTGCAAACTTGAATTCTTCGGCCTTAAATAAAGTTCGGACATTACGTGGGCAAACTGAATTTTGATTGCTGATTCTTTAAGCTGATTCTGCAACATACTGAAAACGGTTTTGTCGTAGAATCCACAAGGCGATTTTTTGATATTTTGACATCCACAGACATGGTCAAATTTTGAGTCAGCTCGAAATGCCAAGTTTATTTCTTTGATAATTTCGGTTTTTTGCGGATTCTGCAGCAGAACAGAAGTACCCAAAAGCTTACTTCACAAGTATTTGTTTGTAGAACCCGCGAAATTTGGTTATCGCAAGTTGGACCATTTTACACATGCAGAGCGTAGCGTCTTATTACGGTGTCATTTTTTTCAACTTGAGTCGCAAATGAAAGTGCTTATAAAGAAGTTACAGAGAGTTATTTACCCTTGCGGTAAACAAGGGTATTGCAATCGTGTACTAGATTTTTTCCCGTAAATAACTTTAGGCACAGAATGTCAAATGTGTAGGAAAGGTAAATTTCAGACATTCTCAATTTCTTGAAAATTCAAATAAAACTGCCTTCATTTAGGTAGTAAATTGGTGTAGTTCGTTTCCGGTGTTAGTCAGAGGGTATTGCAATCGTGTACTAGATTTTTTCCCGTAAATAACTTTAGGCACAGAATGTCAAATGTGTAGGAAAGGTAAATTTCAGACATTCTCAATTTCTTGAAAATTCAAATAAAACTGCCTTCATTTAGGTAGTAAATTGGTGTAGTTCGTTTCCGGTGTTAGTCAAAGTGTTGATTTTTTTTCGAATTCGCGGTTTTTGGACTAGTTTCCGTTGGTTTATTTCCCGTTTTTCAACATGAAAGTTGTTTTATTAAGCATAGATTTTTTTTGATTTTGATTTTTTTACTCTTGTTGAAAGTTTGTAACTTTGCTCTTGATTAAACGGTTTCAGCTTGCGTTGTGAACTTATATTGCGTTGTTGCGAGGGCAAAAATTTCTGTTCGAGCAAGTGTCTTGAAATCGGAAACAAGACTTGTTCCAGTTAAGAACTTTTCGTACACGTTTTAACTTTTCAACTTGCTTTTTTATTAAATGTTCAAATGCTCCAGGTTCCTTCCCACTTGGCCTAGTGTTAGCGCCCGTCGACTTTATACCCTAAGGACTGTGAACGTAGTGAATGCTCATATATTAAAGGTCGCAAAATTATAAAGGTCGCTCAAAAACTTGATCGACGTCTACTTTCGAAACTGGAATTTATTATTCAGCGGAATAAAAAAAGGTTTACTTATTGATCCAGTGTTCTCAATTTGGGTTATTTTTATCAAAAAAGTTTCAATCATAAGTTATTCTAGAAATTCAAAGAGCAGTCTGTTTTTTTCCTGTTTCGTTGGGTTCAGACTCTTTCCTGACTGTCTGTTGGCTATGTCCAGAAAATGTCAATCATAATATGCTCTTTGAAGTCAGGGAGTTATAAGGTTATATGTATTTTTTCAGGTACTTGATTCAAAGTTAGTTTTACGCAATTGTTTTGCTTTTTAGTAATTTATTGAAATTCTAGGACTTTTTTGCCATTTCGTTACAGCTTGTCTCTGTGATTAGATTTTTCAGTGATCGCTGGGTCAAATTTATTACTATAGTTAACGTCTGATGCGTAGGTCTGTTGCGTCCGGGCTGTGAGTTGATCACGGAGTCGCTGCATCTGTTGAACCACGTGTACGGTCCCATCCACAGTGAGATTGCATTGTGTCTGAAACTGCTAGCCCATCTGAACTACATCCTGGGAGACCCTTTGGAGGCCATCTCACATCAACACAAGGCCATCATGATGTACGAGCGGTGTGGTGGATACGACTGCATGCAGACCACCTCTGAGTACCTACGTATGGCGCTCTACTGCTTCTGCTCCGAACAGCCCCACAGTGCCCTTTATCTGCTGCACAGAGCCAGATACCTGATGTGTGTGGCCACTGGAGAAGATCACCCCGAAGTGGCCACGGTGGACACTAACATAGGTCTGGTGCTGCACTCGCTGCAGAAGTTCGACCAGGCGCTCCTCTTCCTCCACAATGCGCTGACTCTGAACGAGACACACTGTGGCGCCATGTCCCTTAAGACTGCCCTGTCACACCACCTGAAGGCGTGTGTGGCCTCCTGCCAAGGAGACTTCCGATCCGCTCTGCAGTACGAGAAGGAGGCATTCAACATCTACAAAACGGAGGTCTGTGTCCGTTCTTTGGACTTTTCATTCACTAATAAGTAGATCATGTACTTATAGATACTACTAGTAGACAATACGCCATAAGCACGCACCCTCTCGCGCCAAATAAAGTCATTACATTTTGACTGTCGAGGATTTGCTGTCATGTTTTTGTTTTGTTTTGTGGTGTAGCTGGGAGAGGAGAATGAGAAGACGCGGGAGAGTAGTGAGCTATTGAAGCACTTGACGAGTCAGGCGGTGGCACTGCAGCGCAAGATCAACCAGTTTTCCAAGAGTGCCTCTGCCTCCCTGGCCAATGCAGCACTTCCCGCACTCTTCATCACCCAGCCGACTCACAAGGGAGTGCTGGAGATGCTCAACGTCATCAATGGGTTCTTCTTCTTCCACCTCAAGTACAAGCAAACATTATGCTATACACAATGAAGATAGCATACCAATCTGCTATCTTTTGTCCCGCTCGCACTTTTTTTTTTAGCTTGGTGGCTGAACTACAACCCACGGCACCCCCAATCAGTTTCAATTCAAATAAACATAAAACAATGGTCATTTGAAAACCCATCTCAATTTGGACATTTTGTTGGGGGCAAACTTTTGTCACGCTCCTTCTTGGTTTTGGTAGGGGGCAACCAGTTATTTTTGTTTGGTTTGACTCACTGCTGAGAAAATAAATAAATTAGTTTGCACCTAATATCGAACCTCACTTAAGTTGCTGCTCTTCAGGAAAGAGGATAGCGAAGATGAGATATTATCAGAAGTGTCAAAGGGTGGCAAAAGTGGCGCACGCAGGACAAGTTGTGACAAAAAGCAGAAATCGACAGCACCATCTTCGTCAGGCAGAAAGAACTCGTCTGAAAACAGCAGTCAATTGAGTGCTAACTGTAAGACGGCCCAAGTGGTAGTGGAGCACAGTCAGGACAATGGTGATGCAGGACATCAGACGCTGCCATGGACCAAATCGGGGGACGGCTGCGGCGGCGTGTCATCGGACGACCAGATTCACCATAAGAGTGACAATGTCATCACAACAGAAGCAGAAGTCAGCACTAGCAGTGGGGGTGGGGATAGGACCATGAGCAGCAGCAGGGGCAGTAATGTCAGTGAGAGCCGGAAGGAAACGGAGGATCATTGCAGTAGTGGGGGAGATCACGACTCCTCTAGTGGAGAACACCATGTGACAGCGGAGCCACTGGATTGACGCCAAAACTGCATCCACAACAGGCGAGTCAGGCATACATCCACAGGAACATGCACACTCACTCAGTTCTTTTCAGACACAATGTGTGAGAGAACACGTTGGACCTTGACAGACCTTGCAAGATAAATTTAAGTGCCAAACTTCAATTTTCAGTTTCCGACATGTAGTTTGGATTGAAAATTGTCAATTGTAGATTTCAATCATGTCTTTATTTGTTTTTGCTTCCAGAAGCAGAACTAAAAAGTTGTTCTAGTAAACGGAACTAGATACTGTCATAAAACGACCAACTCTTTTTTTACAATTGTGTGCGAGTTAGTCATTTTTGTGAGCAAAAACACGAATTAATATGAGATTCAAAAGTGGATTTAGGTTTTGCTCGGGATAAAAAACAATAGTTTTTGACCCAGTTTTCTCATGAATTATTTGTCTAAAAAGTGTAAAAAGTTTTGTTGGAATTCCTTTTATGGGTGTGCTTGACTCCTGGTGAAGTTTTGAGTTACGATCAAAGGACTTCTTGTGGTAAGTTTTAATATTGGAAATACAAATTGGAGCTTAATTACACAAGCAATGCTTGTTTTATAGTATGAATTATTTTTTTTACCAACCTAAGTCGCAAATATTGATGCGATAACATGTGTTCATTTCGAAAGTGTTAATTTTGATCAATAACCAGCTATTAAGTACAGCCAATGCTAAGGATATTAACACATACTATTATTGTTCCGACTTTCGTAACGAAATAAGCGGAATATTTGTGCACGGGGTGGTTTTTTCTTCCGACAAATTTCGACTTTTTAACTAGCCATTTTTGACGGGATTTTTTGTATTATTCAAAAATTATCATTGTCCTGAGCTTAATTTGGAAAGATATTTCACCTGTGATCATTTTTCCTAAAGTTATGGAGATTTAAAAATTGCCATTTTGGCTAATTTGAGACAATTGACGCGCGATATATTTCGCGCTATTAACGCGTAAGCGGATATTTTATCTGTCATAGAAATCGTTCCGAATTGGTTGAAGGACGCTTATTTGCCGTAATTGATTTGTTACTAGGAGTGAAATATATCACTTTTAACTTAATATGGCGTGTGGGGGGATAATTTCCATAGACTGTTGTTTAAATTGAGGCATGTTAGTGGGTAAATTTCTTTTCTATCAAATTGGCTGGTACTGCTAATGCTTCATAATTGGCGTGCGTGATTTACGAAATTTTGTAGGCTCAAAGTTACTCATTCAGTTTTTCCCAGTAGCGTCATCGGTCATGTTTTTGCTTGTTTATGCGAAGTGCAACTTCGCCAATGTGTTTTGAAATTGGTCTTGTAGTGAGTACTCTTATATAGGTCTTGCTGATTTTTTTTCAGGAAAAAGTCTTAAAGTCTTTTCATACTCCTGGGAGAGAAAGAGTCTTGTAAACGAGAAATAGTCTTGTTCTTTAAACAACTTTTTTTACAAATGTGTACGTATGTGTCTTTGAGCGTTTCTAATTTTTTTTCTTTTAACACTTGCAATAGTGTGTGTTTTGTAATCGGATACTAGATTTTTTTTACCATGAATAACTTGTTCAAAGGTTTTTACACTTGCGAGATTCCGAGCGTAGTGTATTAGTTTGAACCTACTTTTTTCCAACGTAACTCGCAAACAAAAAAGCTCTTTTGGTGGTGCTTTTGCTATAATCACGATCTGTAGCTTTGGAAATTTCAATGCAATTGTTCTCTGCTTCACGTGTGGCCAGTGTTTGCCGATTGTTTGCGATATACCCATGTTTCGATTTTTTCTGAACAACGTTTTCGACTATAAGTTGCTGTTGTTTTTTTTGTCGGCTTGCCTGTCCTGCAATATTTGATGTTTTTCAAATGGCGGCGTTCAACAGTGACGAAGTGCAACTTTGCCAAAACTGAAAAGGAACTGCCGAAAATTGATCATTTTTGTAACTTTTGAATTCCGCCTGTAAATTATAGGCAACTGTGCGTAAAAACTGTTTCCTTAGGGAAACACGATAGGAAAGTTTCACAAAGCCTGAATTATTAGATTATTCACCAAAAACTGTAGTACCGTGCTTGGGGAACTTTTGTTCGGTTAACATGCGGCATCAATTAAAATTAATATGTGGCAAGTTTTTGTCTTCATTTCCCTCAAATTTGGGTTAAACACTTGTCAGGGAATCGTGACGAGTAAAAATGGTTTTCATAATTTTTCCGCATCGTTGAACATTAACTTTTTCGTCACTGATGCACTGCCTCAGTACACTTTTGAGCAGCTGACTTTCAAACCACAATTGATGATGATGACATCGATTTGCGAAATTCAAGACGTTAACTTGGCCGATAATAGGATTGGAATGCTAGTCATTGCTCAACATCTTTAATATTTTGTGAATGCGTAGTGCATATTTATTAACTTGAAGTAGATGCGTCAGTTTTCTTTCGTCAGTGCAGATTATTGATTGAAATATCGAATTGAAGCATCTTGCCGGTATTGATGATTACCCTTGCAATAAGCAAAGAATTGCAATCGGGCAGTTGTCTTTTTCCGTTAATAACTTCGTTCACACTATCTCCAATTTATGATATCCATTTCTAGCCCAGTTGTATGTTTTGATTTTTGTCGATTTTATAGATTCGGTTTGTTTTTTTGTCGGTTTACTTGCCATGTGTTTTGTTTTAGTATTTTTTCTCTTAATTTTTTAGGCATGCGAACTAATTAGGTCATGACAAACATATTTGGTCTTCATATTTAACCTTGTAAAACCCCTCGTTACACCATAAAATCGATGCTTATGTGAGGAGGGGGAGGAAAAGTAGCCTCTTTTGTTCTTGAATATTTTGTCTACGGAGATATGTGGCGAGTGTCGCACGAGATTCAGGGGTGTGATTCTTTCTAGCTGAAGTTTTTGAAATTAAATGAATTTTCGTGTTTTTTTTTTCATTTTCTTTACGGGTGCTTTTTTATTGTTATCTTTTTTTGTTGTGATCCAGCGCTATTAAACTTGCAAATTAACTTCATATTCAATAAGTTTGGTTTAATTGGGTTATTTTCATAAGCCTTTGGATTTTTTCAGATTTTTTTTACAAAATCTTTGTTGAAATTGTTTCAAACTTTTGCATACATTTCTAAGAGTCAGTGAACGTAATGAATACTCTTTTATAGGCAAACTTCATTATCGAAAAGCAAAAGGGTAAAGGTCACGAAAACGTGGACGACTTTTAGTTTCGAAAGTGGATCATATTTTTATGATTTTCCAGCTGAATAAAAAAAATTATCCACTTTGCTCAAATTGAGTAAATTTATCAAAGTGTTTGGATGTCTATACTTGGAACTTTTTCTGAGTTGTTGCTCAGTGGATTGATGTGCACGTAGTTTTGACCCATGCGATTTTTTGCTAGCGGTTAGAAAGCGTTATCATTTCGGAACATAGACATTCTCGTGTTTATCTGCTTTATTGGTAGCTAGTGCGCTCTTAAACAATCTCCTTAGCGATTACCTTAATTAGGCCATATTTTTTTGAACAATGATACTAGCTGGTTAAAGGCTTTGAATGGTAAAAGTGAAACATCAGATCGAGTTTCGGCGGTCCGATAGTCGAAATTGCGAAACGATAAGAATTTCACTCCTAGTTTATTTTTTCTCTAGTTGAATATAGCAGGTACAAAGCCTGAATTATTAGATTATTCACCAAAAACTGTAGTGCCGTGCTTGGGTAACTTTTGTTCCGTTAACATGCGGCATCAATTAAAATTAATATGTGGGAAGTTATTGTCTTCATTTCCCTCAAATTTGGGTTAAACACTTGTCAGGAATTGTGACGAGTAAAAATGGTTTTCATAATTTTTGCACTCTTCAAATTTCAGCGATTCTCCGCATCGTTGAACATTGATTTTTTTCGTCACTGATGCGCTGCCTCAATCTAGCACACTTTTGAGCAGCAAAAAAAGGGGTGTATAAACCACAATTGATGATGATGACATCGATTTGCGAAATTCAAGACGTTAATTTGGCCGATAATAGGATTGGAATGCTAGTCATTGCTCAACATCTTTAATATTTTGTGAATGCGTAGTGCATATTTTTTAACTTGAAGTAGATGCGTCAGTTTTCTTTCGTCAGTGCAGATTATTGATTGAAATATCGAATTGAAGCATCTAGCCGGTATTGATGATTACCCTTGCAGTAAGCAAGGAATTGCAATCGGGCAGTTGTCTTTTTCCGTTAATAACTTCGTTCACACGATCTCCAATTTATGATATCCATTTCTAGCCCATTTGTATGTTTGGTTTTTGTCGGTTTTATTGATTCGGTTTGTTTCTTCGTCGGTTTACTTGCCATGTGTTTTGTTTTAGTAACTTTTCTCTTAATTTTTTAGGCATGCAAACTAATTAGGTCATGACAAACATATTTGGTCTTCATATTTAACCTTGTAAAACCCCTCGTTACACCATAAAATCGATGCTTATGTGAGGAGGGGGAGGAAAAGGAGCCTCTTTTGTTCTTGAATATTTTGTCTACGGAGATATGTGGCGAGTGTCGCACGAGATTCAGGGGTGTGATTCTTTCTAGCTGAAGTTTTTGAAATTAAATGAATTTTCGTGTTTTTTTTTTCATTTTCTTTACGGGTGCTTTTTTATTGTTATCTTTTTTTTGTTGTGATCCAGCGCTATTAAACTTGCAAATTAACTTCATATTCAATAAGTTTGGTTTAATTGGGTTATTTTCATAAGCCTTTGGATTTTTTCAGATTTTTTTTACAAAATCTTTGTTGAAATTGTTTCAAACTTTTGCATACATTTCTAAGAGTCAGTGAACGTAGTGAATACTCTTTTATAGGCAAACTTCATTATCGAAAAGCAAAAGGGTAAAGGTCACGAAAACGTGGACGACTTTTAGTTTCGAAAGTGGATCATATTTTTATGATTTTCCAGCTGAATAAAAAAAATTATCCACTTTGCTCAAATTGAGTAAATTTATCAAAGTGTTTGGATGTCTATGCTTGGAACTTTTTCTGAGTTGTTGCTCAGTGGATTGATGTGCACGTAGTTTTGACCCATGCGATTTTTTGCTAGCGGTTAGAAAGCGTTATCATTTCGGAACATAGACATTCTCGTGTTTATCTGCTTTATTGGTAGCTAGTGCGCTCTTAAACAATCTCCTTAGCGATTACCTTAATTAGGCCATATTTTTTTGAACAATGATACTAGCTGGTTAAAGGCTTTGAATGGTAAAAGTGAAACATCAGATCGAGTTTCGGCGGTCCGATAGTCGAAATTGCGAAACGATAAGAATTTCACTCCTAGTTTATTTTTTCTCTAGTTGAATATAGCAGGTACAAAGCCTGAATTATTAGATTATTCACCAAAAACTGTAGTGCCGTGCTTGGGTAACTTTTGTTCCGTTAACATGCGGCATCAATTAAAATTAATATGTGGGAAGTTATTGTCTTCATTTCCCTCAAATTTGGGTTAAACACTTGTCAGGAATTGTGACGAGTAAAAATGGTTTTCATAATTTTTGCACTCTTCAAATTTCAGCGATTCTCCGCATCGTTGAACATTGATTTTTGACCCATGCGATTTTTTGCTAGCGGTTAGAAAGCGTTATCATTTCGGAACATAGACATTCTCGTGTTTATCTGCTTTATTGGTAGCTAGTGCGCTCTTAAACAATCTCCTTAGCGATTACCTTAATTAGGCCATATTTTTTTGAACAATGATACTAGCTGGTTAAAGGCTTTGAATGGTAAAAGTGAAACATCAGATCAGAACATGGTTACTTGGTACGTTCAATGGGACAAGTACTGAGGCAATTGCATGTATGACTGGTTCATTCAAGATGTGATTTGCTTTAGATCGTTTAAGAGTGGACTTGCCGCTATTTACCGGTGATGCAGCTGAAGGTGGCCACCACTCACAGGCACGCTCAGAGTCTTTCTCTCGTCCTCACCTGTCACCTGCCTACACTCTTAGCTACAGTTTCTCAGGCCAAAACTTCAGAATAAGACTTAACCCACTTTATTATATCTTTGATTCTCTTCTATCTCAAACTTGTATTCTTGCCGCTCTTTCTTCATATTCTCTGCTATTTTTTAAATGCGTGTATTTGCATTAGCTAGTCCTAATTCGACTTTGTTCAAACGAGACGCGATTGAATCATGGCTCTAATCGGTTCTCAAAATAACCACAAATAAGTGTTAACAAGATAAAAATTGAACAAGGACTAATTTTTGATGCACTATTGGTGGTGAAATTAGTCTCCTTCTCAGATATGAAAGAGTCAAGTCAGGTATCGGAGCCTTGGTAACCAATCAACAACCACGAAGAGGGAACATGTTATATATTTGTATGCATATTCTTATATTTTCCTTCATCCATGGTGCTGTTGAGAGCACAGTTTGTAATCTAGAACTGTTTCTTTGTAATATATTGGACTCAATATAACACATTAATATATATTTTGATATTTTCTAGTCGTGCATTTTAACTAATACTGCCTTAATATGTGCTATTAACAGAACGAACTGGCTCCAAATGTGGCGCCTTATTATGGCTCCAATTGCGAATTTAAGTAATTTTTGGATGCCAGACTGGTTCCTGATACTCAATCTATTCAATGGACCAGTTCCATACATCTACAAAATGGAGATTTCTATCTGAAAAAAAAACATTAAAATACTGCCAGAAAGGTTATCAAAAGATAATGTATGGGGCTGATCATTTATTGTTGCTCTACAATATTTGAAATTGGTTGTATGGAAACAAAATAGCTTCCTTTTATCGCCCGATTGTATATCGAGGCCAAATGAAGTGGATATGCATGGTATTGCATACCACGACATATATAAGTGTCAAACACATTGAATTTAACATTCACAGCTAATCAGGGTTGCGGAGAAATTGATAGGTTGACGGGAACATTGTTCTAAAAAACCAATCGCCTTTACAATCTTTTGCGTAATTTTTAACAGATCACATCTTACAACAATTAAAATACTTCGTAGACAAAACTTATGCCATGTATCTCGATTAGTTCGCTAATCAATTCTTCTGAACCCCTGCAGCCAATCACGCCGTTTTACATTAAGGATGTCACGAGGAAGAATGTCAAATATTGTTCCGACCATTTGAAAAATGTGGAGCAACTTAGTATTTGAAACTAGAAATAGTTCACGTTTTTTTGTGAACTTTAATTTTGCTGGAATAAAATTAGTTTTTCTTTTGACGCCTTTTTGGGAATCATTTTTCTTTCTCATTTGTTTAGCAGATTGGATTCTGTTTTGTTTTGTTAGGCAGATTGGATTTATTTTGTCTTATCTGTTTTTATGGAAGGGTGTTTTAGTTTCGCTTTGAGAGCTATAATTTTCTCCCCCATTCTCAAATGTCACTTGCGCTTCTTCCGATAGTTTTTTGAGGCCTGAGTGTAGCGGCTAAAATTTTTGAAACAGCGTGCTCGCATTTAAACAATTTTTTTTGTTTTTGTTTTCATCTCTTTTTATAATGACTCGCCGGGTCCAATCATTGTTTTTTCAATTTTCTGCACATTCTACACTGAAACAAGGATATTTTTCGTTGATCTTTTTGCTTTCGTGGAATCCATAGACAAACAGCTGTAACATTGTAGCTTCTAATGCTATTGCAATAAAGGTATTGAAGACGTATCGGTTTTGTTTACATCAAATTTGATCTGCGGTTTGAAATTTGATTACAGTTTAAGTTCCATTCAACTGCTAAAAGAGACGCTTTGCGTTTACAAAGCCGCAAGGGCTGAAAAAATGATCGTTGAAAAGATTGCCTCCAGATTTCACCGCCATACCGGAACTTCTGTTTTTCTAGAACAGCTCGGCTTCGTGAAAATTCAAAACATTCAGCAGCATTTTTTCATAATGTTCAACGTATATTACTTTTGCAATTCAAATTTGACCGAGCTTCAAATGATTAATCTAGAATCGATGAAGTTTGATCAGAGAACGTTGAAACCAGATAGATTTTTCGTTGAGCTTCAAACAACGGTAAAGCAATCATTACCATATCTAGCCCTATCCCAGTCGCTCCAGCAGCTAAAGGTGGGACGGTTGAACCAAAGCGAGTTGCAAGAGAAGCCGAAGCAAACGACGAATGATAAAATTTTGCATTTCAAGAAAAAAAAACGTTTTTCGGATTTTTGAAAAAACTATTTTGTACTCAGACTAAAGCTTCTTGAACAGCCACCCAACCCAAAAATGATCAATTTCTGCACCCTAGTGAGCCAAATGCTAGTTTTTAACGGCTTTTTTCCCTCGGACACTAACTCGACACAGCTTTAATGTATCTCCAGTCCAACCAAACACAAAACGCACTTACTAAAATCACTTCAACCCAGAAACTATTGAAAATGCGCATTGACAAATAGTCGAAAAACATGGCTTATGATACAGAAAGCCACAACACAAATCAGTCAACAGCGATTAGTGGAACAATTTTTTGTCCGCGGCAACGAGGATACAATCCAAAATTCCGAGATCAGGGATTTCAAAAATTGGATCAAACATCAGAATAACTATAAACAATTTATTCAGCCATCTGAAGTTTGCAGTATGGCCAACACCCAATAGAATGCTCAAGTTTAAGTTGAGTTTAATTGAAGCTATCCAAGTGCTCGTTTTTCACTTGAAAAATCTGATTATTTAAGAATTGAGTGTAGAGTGCATCTTCAATTTATTTGATCAATTGGCATAGTGCGAAAGAACTTTTTTGCTAACTTTCCCTTGCATACAAAAACAAATTTGAAATCATGAAGCATGTAAAATTGCTCCGTTCGCTTGATGTTGCAGCTTATTTGTTGTGATTGGACTTAACGCTCACCCTGTAGAAGGTCAAATTGTTCTTACTTTGAAAAAACGGTAACCTCCAAAATCGAGATGAAAATTTGCTGTCCTTAAATTTCAAAAACACTGCAATTTAAATAAGAATTAATCAATATATAAACTAAGAAACTTGCTTATGTTTTCAAGACATTCAGCACGTAATTATGCTTTTGCAATAGCTCAAATTTTAAAAACAAAGTTATGAAAACAATTGTTTGGTAGAAGAATTTCATTTCTCGAATACAAGACTCTTTCTCTCGTAAGTGTTTCTAGTTTGAGGCTGATTGACTGAAATTGTGATTTGAACTATCTCTTATTAGGCTTACGTATTCGCTTTTTTTATGAAGTACTATTTTGACCTGAGTGTCTGACATAAATTGTTATAGGAGTAAAAATTCAGTATTTAAATTGCTGCTTTGATGTTATCCACCTAACAGATTTCTTCAAGTTTTCGAACTTAAATTTGTCAGGTCTTTTTCTGGAATTTTTTACACTCAGCAAAAAAATCAATAATTAAAAATTGTTCCTTTTTGAATAAAAAATTTATCCATGAATTAGATTGAAATTAGTAATGAAAGAAATGAAGATCACTGTTTCAATTACACGTACATCGTTTTTTAAACAGCTACTTGATTCAGTCAACAGACCAGCAACAAAATTATATTGACGCATTAGCAAACAGCTTTATTAACGAAATTTTGACAGCTCATTTTTCTTGTCCCGATCTTTCGAGAAATAAAATTTTTTTTGTAAATGTTCAGTTTTTGATTTATTTAAAACAGCCACTTTGCACTCTAAGAAGCAGCACAGGGGATCAATTGTGATTTTATATTAAAACCTTTTATCCTATCTTTTGGATTTGAAAAAAAATCGGTTCACACTTATTTGGCCAATTTTGCAGGTAAGGCTGACCTCTCACTTCAATTCGACTACAATTAAAAAGCTGTTTTACCACGTAGCACTTCTCAATTTCTTAATCAGTGACAAAAGTCAGTTATTTTTAACAAAAAGAACTGGTAAATTTGGTAATTTTTGGATCTTGTACTGGTAAATGCAATGTATTCGATACCAAAATTCAGTAATTTTTTTTGTTCTTGGAGTTTCACTTCAAACTTACTATAGCGTTTTTTTCTTAAAATGTATTAAAAAAGGTATCAGACTTTATGATAAAATCAAACAGAATTATACAAAAATAGAGATTCCAGAAGTTATCTATCATTTTTTTGTCTCAAATTACAAAACCTGCCGTTTGTTTGATTGGTGGGCATAGTGAGAAAAAAGTGAGAACTTCTGAAGCATGTTATTTTGCCAGGCTAAACAGTGCACTGTATAGACGCAGGATTTTGTGCCTGTATGAGGCACAAAATCCTGCGTCTATTTTGTGCCAGATTTCACCGCCATACCGGAACTTCTGTTTTTCTAGAACAGCTCGGCTTCGTGAAAATTCAAAACATTCAGCAGCATTTTTTCATAATGTTCAACGTATATTACTTTTGCAATTCAAATTTGACCGAGCTTCAAATGATTAATCTAGAATCGATGAAGTTTGATCAGAGAACGTTGAAACCAGATAGATTTTTCGTTGAGCTTCAAACAACGGTAAAGCAATCATTACCATATCTAGCCCTATCCCAGTCGCTCCAGCAGCTAAAGGTGGGACGGTTGAACCAAAGCGAGTTGCAAGAGAAGCCGAAGCAAACGACGAATGATAAAATTTTGCATTTCAAGAAAAAAAAACGTTTTTCGGATTTTTGAAAAAACTATTTTGTACTCAGACTAAAGCTTCTTGAACAGCCACCCAATCCAAAAATGATCAATTTCTGCACCCTAGTGAGCCAAATGCTAGTTTTTAACGGCTTTTTTCCCTCGGACACTAACTCGACACAGCTTTAATGTATCTCCAGTCCAACCAAACACAAAACGCACTTACTAAAATCACTTCAACCCAGAAACTATTGAAAATGCGCATTGACAAATAGTCGAAAAACATGGCTTATGATACAGAAAGCCACAACACAAATCAGTCAACAGCGATTAGTGGAACAATTTTTTGTCCGCGGCAACGAGGATACAATCCAAAATTCCGAGATCAGGGATTTCAAAAATTGGATCAAACATCAGAATAACTATAAACAATTTATTCAGCCATCTGAAGTTTGCAGTATGGCCAACACCCAATAGAATGCTCAAGTTTAAGTTGAGTTTAATTGAAGCTATCCAAGTGCTCGTTTTTCACTTGAAAAATCTGATTATTTAAGAATTGAGTGTAGAGTGCATCTTCAATTTATTTGATCAATTGGCATAGTGCGAAAGAACTTTTTTGCTAACTTTCCCTTGCATACAAAAACAAATTTGAAATCATGAAGCATGTAAAATTGCTCCGTTCGCTTGATGTTGCAGCTTATTTGTTGTGATTGGACTTAACGCTCACCCTGTAGAAGGTCAAATTGTTCTTACTTTGAAAAAACGGTAACCTCCAAAATCGAGATGAAAATTTGCTGTCCTTAAATTTCAAAAACACTGCAATTTAAATAAGAATTAATCAATATATAAACTAAGAAACTTGCTTATGTTTTCAAGACATTCAGCACGTAATTATGCTTTTGCAATAGCTCAAATTTTAAAAACAAAGTTATGAAAACAATTGTTTGGTAGAAGAATTCTATTTCTCGAATACAAGACTCTTTCTCTCGTAAGTGTTTCTAGTTTGAGGCTGATTGACTGAAATTGTGATTTGAACTATCTCTTATTAGGCTTACGTATTCGCTTTTTTTATGAAGTACTATTTTGACCTGAGTGTCTGACATAAATTGTTATAGGAGTAAAAATTCAGTATTTAAATTGCTGCTTTGATGTTATCCACCTAACAGATTTCTTCAAGTTTTCGAACTTAAATTTGTCAGGTCTTTTTCTGGAATTTTTTACACTCAGCAAAAAAATCAATAATTAAAAATTGTTCCTTTTTGAATAAAAAATTTATCCATGAATTAGATTGAAATTAGTAATGAAAGAAATGAAGATCACTGTTTCAATTACACGTACATCGTTTTTTAAACAGCTACTTGATTCAGTCAACAGACCAGCAACAAAATTATATTGACGCATTAGCAAACAG